AGTCATAAATTAATGCGTGGCGTGTTGTTGGCTATTAAAAGCAATGAGCAAGCGAGCGCATGTGAGCGTACAAGCTGCTTAGGCAGCAGCTCTCTCTCACACACGCACACACACACACGCTCTACGCATTTACATAAAGAAAAAATAAAGCAAAAGAGCAAAAAGCGAAGACCCGAATAAAAATTTACATATTGCGCACGTGCTTGACCGAGCGACGCTGAAAAGTATGCTACAAAAATAGGCGACAAGGCGGCGGCAGCGACGCCAACGACTGCCACGCACAGTGGGTCAAATGCAGGCACTTTGTGTAGCGGTTATTAGTTGATTGCATTGCCACCATTAAAACAGAGAAAATAAACTGAAGCGCGACCTCTGATGATTCAATTGTTCAATTGTCGCAGTAAAGCTTAGCCGCCCACAAATCTGAGCTACTAAATTGACAGCGAATGTAACTGAAGCAATTTGCTGTGCTCTTTAACTGTGTTTGAAGTTAACAGCAATGGTAGCTGCCCAGTTAACAGCTGTTAAGCGTAAAATGTTATGAAAAAGTTCTTAAAGCTGAAACTGTTATATAACACATGAAGTTGATTGGAAATGCGAATGTAAGCTCAAAAGTGGGTGCCTTCAAACTGTGCTGTGGCTTTGAAACTGTAAATAGGAAATGTATCAATAAGTTTGACTGAATATAATGGCATAAGCTATGATGAAAGCTTAAATAATTTCCAGCACAAAGAACAAGAGCCTTTGAGTTGAATTTCGGCCACAGTCTATGGCACAAGGATCTGACTGCGAGTCACAAACTGTGGCTTAAGTCTATATATACTAAAAGCGCTTTAGTTAATCTCAATCTTAATCTTAATCTGAAACTTAATTAAGTATTTCATCATATATTTGCACAACTTTTAAACATATAAAGAAGTTCAATTTGGATCGTAAAATTTGTGAATGTGGCCCATGGTGCGACGCCGCAATGGCCCAGCTCAGCGCTATTCAAACTGTCGCTGCGGGGTTTGACAGGCGCTGTCGATCTATACACATGTGTTCGTGCCGCTGGGGAGCCATAAAAATCAGCCACTGGCTGCGAGGGGGCGGCCCAGCTAAAGGAGGCGTGGTCATGTATAGACTGTTAATAAACATGTTTTGATACGGCAGCGGCAGCGCCAGCCTCGACGATATCTTCGGGCCAAGCACTTAACACAAGGTCAACGAGGACAAGGACAGGACATGCCAAAAACGGCGGAGGTCAGCAGGTGGTCAGACACATGCCCACACCTCGCCGCCGTCACTCGCTGCTGTGGCTTGCAACGGAATGCATGCAAGAATAGTTGGAAGCAGAGAGAAAAAGTATGTGGGATAGGAAATTGATGGAGGCGCCGCGCATTTAAGCAGGATGCAGGAAGCAGGAAGCGGCCGGTTAGCAGTTGAGCGCTGCGAGGAAACGGAAGGCAGATGGACTTTCAATATGGCAAACGGATATGGCCAACAACAGCCTGCAGCCAGCTTGACTTGTTTTTGCGCCCAGGGAACACGTGACACGTGACAATTGTATGAAGGAAAATATGCATGTAACAGGGCACGCCCCCTTCCCGCATCCCGCTTGCCGCCTCCTGCCCGCTCAATCCACATTCGCATCAATATCAAGCCCATAAATTCCAAATATTTGTGGCCTCATAACTTTGCAAGAATAGGAAATGGAAAGGCATACGAGGTCAAGCATATGGCGAACAACAATTGCAATTCCAATTCGACTTACCCGTAAAAAAAGGAGAATTGCATGAAGTGTGTTACAATATTGCATTCCAGTAATTATCAGCCCCATACATTACTTGCTTAACATCGTCAGAGCTGATCTACTCTCAAAGGTGCTACTGGACTAGTGAAATGGGCTCAAGTAAAGTTCGTTCGGAATACATTGTGTAGCGAGAATATATCTTATATGGATTTGTCTCGGCAGCGACTTTCAAGGTTTGTTTAGAATTCCCAAAGAGTTGAAGCTACTTTTGAGCGTCAATCGCTGAAGTTAATTTCTCCTCTAGGCCGCTGAGCGAATATTTCTTTACTTCTTGCCTTTACTCCCACTCTCCTTCCCTCCCTCTCTCTCTCTCTCTCTCTCTGCCTTTATGATATTGTGACAAGCAGCAACTCAATTTGAACGTGCGTACATTTCTGGCAGTCATCGTAGATGAATGGACAAACGAATTCCATAGCTTTCATTGCCACCTCCAGCTGCTGGCTGGCCAAGCAGCTGCCGCCAGTCTCAGCCTCCTAATTCGTCCCAACCTCATTGGCTAAACTGATTGATTGGCTTTTGGGGCTTTGGCTTCTGATGGAGCCTCGTCGTATGTGCTTTTGGCTTTGGTTATGCAATAAATATACATGTTCGATTCGGCTGAGGCGACAAGCGGCGAGCTCGGGGCATGGGCAAGTGTGCTACGACTTCGGCTCTATGTAGCCGAATCAGTCAAGCAATAAGCGTGGGCTACACTTCATTAGGCACAACAACTGTCGCACACACACGCACGAAACGCATTTACGAATTGTCATATTAAATATGCAAAAAGAAATCGGAAGCAATTGCTGAGTGATTGCGACGCAACGATACCCTGTAAACAGAAATGTCAATGAGATGAAGAAGGAGAGAGAAAGCTACCTTACTCATATCCCAATGCATCTCTTAGATGATATTGCAGATCGAAATCAAGTTTTTTAAAAAGAAAAATGGAATTGAGCTATTAATATAATCGATATTTATCGACTTTGTGCTGTTGACAGAAATGCAAATTGGATAATCAAACAGTGGGACAGAGCAAGCTATAAATAAATATCATATTTGAAACACATCTTCTCTTTAAGGATATCGATCGATTTAGACAGAGAAATAATATAGGGAAACACTGACAGAGAGAAAGCCACATTTGTTCATATTCTAATTTTTTGATTATATCGCAAAGCGAATTGTATAAAATAAAAATGGAAATTGAGATATTCTGTCAATCGATATTTATCGACTTTCTCCTGTAAAGAAAAAGAGAAAGTAACAAATATCATACTTGATTCATATACTAATATTTATATTCGATTTTATCGGAAAGGATAATGTAAATTCATATTTTCTATTGATCGGTATTTATCGATTGTGGCCTGTATCTTAATTTCTCTCTTGATGATGGCATAGATCGGAAAAATACGATATTACTGAAACTTTCTAATAGACAAATAGAAATTGATTGGTTTATCGACTCTTCCAGAACAAAAATGATCTTTTTAGCTAATTGGTTATAGTTCGAGATTGACCTATTTATCATGTATTATCATTTTATCAAGTAGATGTTTGGCTTGATATCGATTTCGGTTTAATAAACTTTAAACTTTTGGAATATTTTTCCATATTTCAATTGAATATTACTTCTTTTCCTGTATAACAGTTTATAGTTCAATATAAACTGATCATGAGCAACTTTTCGATATCTCCAATACCCTGTAGAAACTGAAACTGCTTGAAATATGGCTAGAGACTTACATATGGGACCCCAATCATATAAATGCAATTCAGATAAACCCATTTCAAGTGTTTTTTTTCTCTGCAGATGCTGCAGGGTATGCGAATACGCAGAATAGCTGATTTTTCAGGCAAAATAAGAGGAAAAATACCGCAAAAAGAAACGAGAAACACCAACAACAAATTTTCATGCTGTTGCTGTCACGAGTTTTTTTTTTTTTGTATTTTATTTATTTATTTTATGTTAACAGTAAAATAGCCTACCAAAAGAAACAACGCACGCACACAGACACCAACCCCCTCTCAGCTCCCTTGCCCACTTGCTTGACCCATCCAGCTTTTTTGCTCTCTTGTTGTTGTTGCCCATAGATTTGCCTGTCATTTGGCTTTTGCTTTTGCTTTTACTTTTTCTTTCTTATTTTACTTTTTGTCACTGTGTTTGTCACACTTTAACACACGCACGCACACACACACATACACAGGCGCCCCTTTTTGCAATTGCTTTAAATATTTAAGTAGTTTTCAGTTTCAGTTTCCTGTTTTATTATTCTCTCATTTCGCTAACCGCACACAAGCAGACGCACACACACACACACACACACAAGTCTGTGTGTGTGTTTGTGTCACGTTGCCTCTCACTCAACTGTGCTGTTGGCGTCGCTGCCGCTTTATTTGCCTGCTGCCTTTCTTCTGCCTTCTCTAGTTCTTCTGCTTTTGCGTTTACTGTTAACCCTTTTGCATTTGCTAGCCACGCAACATTGGCGCACTTCATTCAGCTGCAGTGACTGCCAAACTGTACGCGTGTGGTGCGGTTGACACTTATGCAACCGCAACAGCGCTGCACCAGTATCGACGTCGACGGCACCGTCGGCAGCGACTCTCTTTCATTCTTTGTTGCTGTTGCATACTTTTTGGCTGCACTTGAAAAAGCAGCAGGCGACCAATTGTTATTGTTGCTGTTCTTCTTGCTGACATAATTGTGCTCTATGCGTGTATGTACAATGTATATATATATATATATATATATATATATATATATATATATGTGCCTCTATGTATGTGTGTGCGGTTGGCATTCCTTTATGCCTTAACAACTGACACACATTTCAGCTAACTACAACAACAGCGAAAGCAGTCGAAGTTTTTGCTTTGTATCTGCTTACATTTTTTGCCTAGTGCCTCAGCAACAATAACAACAACAACAGCAGCAGCAGTAGAACTCTCCAAGACAACAATTACAAGTGTGCTTATGCCTCTCGCTCGCGCATTCACGCCAGGCGTAACTTTCGCACATTACGCTTGGCGTCGCCGTCGACGTTGACGGCGCCTTTAGCGGCGAATTCCCAAAAAAAATGAAGAAAAAAGTATGAAGAAGCAGCAGCAGGCGAACTCAACTTCATTACACAATACATGAAGTACTCAAAAGAGCGAGAGAGGCAGAGTTCTCTGTATGTTTGTGTGTATGTGTGTAAGTTAGCGGCAATGGCTCTTTAGTGATTACCTTTTGTTGCTGTTGCTTTTTGATTGCTTTTATGTGGATAATAATAATGTATTCCTTTTTGCTTTGCTCTTGCTCTTGCCTGGTTCTTGGTTTCTTGTTGTGTTCTCGCTGTCTTCCACTTGTTTTGGTTTTTCCTTTTTATTTTGTGTTTATTTTTTTTCTTTTTATATTAATTTTGATTACTGGTAACGCGATTTTCGCTTTTCACTTTGTTTTTTTTCCACTGCATTTGTTTTCGTGGGAAAAATAGAGTATAATTATATATATAAATATATAGATATGCACATATATATATACATATACCCATATGTATATACATATACATATACCTATAGTATTTATACATATATATTATTATTATTATATTTTTTACACCGCAAAAAAAAACGCATGAAAATATTGTAGGAGTGTAACGGGAAAAGGGTTCGACTATGTGCAACAATTGCCGACTTGAACGTGGATTTGACCAAGTTGCAAGCTTGAAGTCCGCGCCACTTTTTATGTTACTCTGTTTTGTTTGATTTTTCTTTTGATATAAGTTTAAAAAAATTTACAAAAAAAAAAAAAAAAATTACAACCTAGTGCACAAGAATTGAATTTCTCTTCTTATTTCTTTTCTTCTTTTTTTTGTTGGGCAACGCTTTCAGTGTAGGAATTCGCTTGAGAAATGGCTCAAATATGTTGCGCGCGGCTACGCACCTAAAAGTAGACTACGAACCCGTTACGAACTCGAGCGGCGTCGACCACACGCTTAGTCCTCAACTCGCTCTCTGCTCTCTGTCGCTCTATGAGTCGCGCGCTCACTCTCTTTGATGGAGCATTAAACAGCTGTCGGCAAAGCTACAACACAAGCTCAAGCTTAAGCTGTGCTTTTGACAGCTTTCTACAGCTGGTTGGTCTGGTTCGCAACCACTTGACAAAAGCTTAGTTTGAGCTTTGTTGTGATAATTTTGAGGCAGCGCCACCTGCCGTTTGTTAGCCTAGACTTGCGCGTGCGCCACTTGCCCTCTTGTTTTTTGCTTTGCATAGGGTGGGTTTTCCCTTCGCATTGGGGGCGGAAAACAAACCCCAAACCAGAGCCCAAATTTGTGGGCCAGTTTCAAGAGACACGCAGGCCGCATCAGGCGTGCAGCTTGAGCCCATAAACCGATTAAAGACTTATCGATTGACGATTCGTGCGTGTGGCACCTGTGGCAGCTATACATACATACAAACACACGCATATATATATATAAATATATATATGTCTGGAGTTATATATAGAAAAAAAAGTCGTGTGAAATTTGCTAATTGAATTGATCACTGAACAATTAGCAAGGATCTTAAAACTAACATTAATTGATCGAGCGCACTGCAAAAGTAATAGTACGCAAGGAGATATACATACATACATACATACAGACATACAGCAAAAGAAATAATCCATATGTAACAATAACAACAGGCAGCAGTCGCAATATCAGCGAAAACAAGAAGAACAACAACAACAAGAGTAAACGGTAAACTGGTTTGCATCGCATTACGATTATTTTATTTATTTATACATATTTGTTTCCGCTGCGACTGCGAGCGAGCGTCGCTTTGAAAGCGGAGACGCCAACAATTTAGACGTTGACGGCGTTGACGCTGAGCGCCGTGCGCCGAGTCCAAAGTTCACAAGACGCAAGTTTAGCGCAACAAGAAAATAAACAAGTGTCTGGGGGCCAATGCAACAACACGAACGGCGTGTGCATTTACCAAAGAGAGAGAGCCAGGGAAGCTAAAAGCAAAAACAGAAAAAGAAAGACAGAGGGAGAGACGGAGAGCACGCGTTTAAAAGAGCATCAACAGCTATTGTGATTAGCTGTAATTAGCATTGAGCAGATTGAAATTCGGTTGCCTGGCTGAGCGCTTGCCTAAATAATTACAGCTTGACGATGAATTTTGGTATACACTACATTTTTCCGTTTGTAGCTACCCCAATTTCGCATAATTTAATCAAAAATGCCAACCAAAATTGCGGTAATTCGCACAATTTGGGCATGTGCTGCCCTATCATAGCCACAAGAAAAGAGTATATACATACATACATACATACATACATATGCACATACGTAGACAATTTGATAGTTAGTCACTTGAAGCGCACTTTGAACTATCCATTTGTCTTGACTCAGGCTGCATTTATAGCAATTTCTTTTATCAGACAATCGATAAGCGCTGACGAATTAAATTCACAGTTATCTGCACAAACATGGGTTACATTTTGAAAATCGTGATATCTATTTGGGGGTTTCGGCCAAGCCTATGACGAAAACATGTGACACTCAGCAAATGAGTGCACTCGAAACTAAAATGCAAAAGAAAAACGAAGTAGAAGAGCGAAAACCAAAACAATAACAAGTGAAACAAATGCAAATTAAGCCGAGGCAGCATTTCAGCCTGCATGTGTGGGAAAGAGACGAAACTGGCCTTGAGCTACAAATACCAGTGCGTATGTGCTCGTGTGTCTGTGTGTGTGTGAGAGTTATTTGAATGCTGTTATTGATGAAGACGCGATCCGCTGCTCAGCTAAGTTGTGCAACTAGCCGCCAGGCGTCGTTTTAGCTGGAGAAAGTTGAATGCCCTCCGAATGAAAGGCCCACACAGATGCCCAAACCTAGGTCCGGTTTTCCATATCCAATTTCGTTGCGAGTTTCTGTTTTTCTCGCTTCCACTCACTTTTTCGGAGGACTTTGTACCGGAGTGTAATCCAAGTTTCTCATACCGGTTAGACCAGAATCTACCTGATTTATACTTTATACGCTAATCACCTGCAATCTGGCATCTAAGCTTAATTACCATAATAACAATGCCCGTTAGGCCCAGCGATAAGCTGCATTGCAAGTCATGCCCACAAGGCCGAAACAAAGTCTGGAAGACAATGGAAGCTGATAACGCTTATCAGTGCGTTTTTTTCTACGTAGAATGTTCGTATGTCCCTACATATGTATGTACATATGTACATATATGTGTTTATGGCTGTGCAATAAACGCATTTGTAAAAGTTCATAAAGTTGTTGGTGTGTGGCATGGATAGGGTAAGTCAGGGGAAGGTGGGGCCAGAAGTAGAAAGTCCAGATTTTATACATTCTGGCGAGGATCATAAAAATTTTCAATCAGTCATAAAAAGCATAGCGTTATATCAGGCTAGATAATCAAATAATAATATTATAGGCCGAACTCTTGTGATTTTTTCGTCAATCTCTATTTTATTTACATTTAAAGAATCAGATTTTAGTGTAGCTGGATCTGTAGCGTGTGTCCAGGTACGCATGTATGTATGTATGCGACACTTGATGAAATATCTGTAACTAGTTCCAATTAAAAAATTATAATCGGCAAACGTCTATTGTGCTATACAAATAACACATGCATCTATACACTTAGGAATGTCATTTATTTCTTTAAGAACGCATGCACAAACACAGTTACACACATATTGATGTATATGTATGTATATGTGTCGCACACGCTTGTGTTAAGTAAATTCATAAAGAGAGAAATGCATGCGCATACACACACATACGCACGCACACGCTGCGATGCCAATAACATTTACTAAAATTGAGAGAGTGACAAATATAAGCATAGAATTGCACTGACTACTAATTTACAGTTACAGCTATGCAGGCAGCCGAGCGAAGAGTGTAAACAGTGTGCACAGAGCGCTGCGCAAAGAGAGCGAGCGACGCAACGAGAGAGAGAGAGAGAGAGAGAGTGAGATCATGCAAAAGCAGCACCAATAACAATAACAAGAAGTATATGCATTTGAAACAGAACGCGTAGGCGCAGATGAGCGCGGCGTCAAACAGAAAATAAAGAGTAGCAGCAACAGGAACAGCAACAACAACGAACGCCCCTTTTCTACGCCAACGCGATCTGTTTGCCTGTTTGTTTGTGTGTGTGCGTGCGAGCGTGTTTTGGTGAGCCGGCGAGCCGGCAATACGGCCGCTGCGACGCCAACAGGCAGTCGTGCCTCAGCACTCCAAAGCAACAGACGTGCAGACAGACAGGCAGCAGCAGCAGAAGCAGTAATCAACGCAACACCAAAACAGCAGTCAAAACAAATTGAAAAATTCCAAGCCCAGCTTAAACCACATCCAATTGAATCTAACGTTCGTGAGAGCGAGTGCGTGAGCAAAGACCAAAAGAGATACAGAGCGCGAGAGAAGGAGAAGGAAAAGAACAAAAGAGATCCGCAGCTGCTTAGTCAATGAAAATGTATCCAGTCGCTGCCCAGATGCTGCGCCTGCGCAACGCCGCAAACGCCTGCGCTCGCACAATCACAACGAACCGCAGGCAGCGCAACACGGCGAGCGTTGAGCGCGCCCAAAGCATTAGCGAGCGGGACAAGGCGCTGCACTACAACGCCGAGGACGGCTACTACAAGACCTCGCCCTACGATCCCATTAAGGTGCAAAATGTGCCGTTGCACGAGTACGTCTGGCGCGACTTCAAAAAGTGGGAAAACTCCACGGCAGCGGTAAGTTATGTCCATTAACAGTGTTGCTAACGAGCAAAAGCAGTGTTGAAAATTACGTGAATGAATTTTGAATTTACTAAGCCAAACATTTGCTTGTGAATATTAAAGGATCTGTAAGAAAAAGGATCCAAAAAAAAAAAGACATTTAAGTGGATTGATGAAAGAATTTCACAATATCTTTTTTTTTTTCAATAAATTTTTTTTTCAAGTGCCTTGAAAAGTGTTTTCAAATATTATAAATCTATAAATGTCGTTCAGCATGAGATAATGAAATATTACTTGAAATTCTTCAGAGAAAAAACCGGTTTTTATTAAAATTGTTAAGTAATATTTCAAACAAATATCTTAACAAAAAGATTTTTTAAAGTGTTTTGAAATGTTTCATTGTTGAAAAACTTAAATTATCCAACCTAAGATCATTCATAGAAAAGTGCTGAAAGGGAATTAATAGAAATTTTCAAAAACATTCAGAAATATAATATATAATATATAATATATATAATATAATTTTAAATTGGTATTTCGTTATTTTCTAGTGAAATACAAACATTCATTCATTTGAAAGAACTTTTTACCTGGGCTATATATGTAATTTTATTTTCAAGTATGACTACCAGGTGCTCGATCTGAAGTTGACAAATAATACATACACTCTATATACTTTATATACAAATTAAGTCTTAGAACTCATTGAATTGAAGCTACTTGATCCATTGATAAGATTGCGGATAGTAGATATTGGATGGCTGGTAGCGCTTGTAAAACAACTCTATTACTCAGATCCGGATCCCTATATGATACCCTTACCTAATGTCTTATCGCTTCTTTCGGAAAGTATTTCGTTATTCTCGTTTTTGTTTATGCCATTTCATTGAACCTGAACCTATGCCAATAGCTTGTGTATACCTATATACATATATATATATATATACATATCAATGTATATATGTCTATGTTTATGTATTCTTGTCTGGCACCGTTTGCTGATTCTCCCTGTCGAGTCGAAAAGTCGCATGCAGATTGGATCACGAGCGCAGTCACAAGATTACCTGGAATTTTGCTAGTCCAGCTCGCTTAACATACTTATATGGGTCATTTCTAGGGGCCTCTTGCTTTCGCCAGATAAGGTGTGCCTAGTGTATTGTGTACCTTAAGCAAAAATACCTATTTAGATAAGTCCGAAAGTGAAATAATATATATAACACGTACTACGCCTTCATACTGCAATCTTGAGATAAGGAAACAGGAATAATAATAGAAATACCCACAATATGTATGTCTATATATATATATATATATATATATATATATATATATATATATATATATATATAAATGTATATATTTAAATAAATATATGTTTGCACATAATATTCATGTATAAATATAGGCATACCCCTTTGTAGCGCTTTGCATGGGGCCTTGACCGGTTGAAGTCGACTGTGACATGGCATCAAATTGCTTTACATGAGCGATAAGAGCGACATTGAGAGCCAGGGGATTGCAAGGGATAATGAACAGATGTGACGTATAACAAGTGTTTCAGGCGGCAGTGCTCGACTGGCAGATACCTTGTATACTGTATAGCTTAAATTCTGATAATATAGTATATATTTATATAGTATGTTATTAAAATATCGAGTTAGGCTTCAGACCATTGTTAAACGAAATATATTGTATAAGACTAAAACTGAATTAATGGGGCATCACGACTGCATAATACTCTGTTTATAATGCTTTAATGATTGGTATAGATGAAACCAATCGGAGGTTATCCATTTCACTACCTCCATTTGAGAATCTATAAGAGTGTGGCTTAGGCGAAGCTAATATACCCACCTTAGCGTACAGGATATATGGGAAAGAAATGCAACTAGTAAGAGATTGATAATGGAAATGAGAAATCAAAATGCAAGAGGCGAGTTGCATGGCAGTGTGTGTGCGAGACAGTCAGTGAGCAAGGAACAGAGAGAGAGAGAGAGAGAGAGAGAGAGAGAGAGAGGGAGAGCGGAGGGAAGAGGGAGAGCAAGCGAGGCACTATAAATAGACACATGATCGAGACAACTGTCGGCTTGCATAAGCACCGAGCCCGCCCACACGCTCCGCCCACACTGAGGCGACAAAAGCAGCAGCACGTAGAGCCACCCGTGCCGCCACTGCAGCCACCCCAGCCGCAATGCCAGCCCCTCCGCCCCGAAATCAAAGTGCAAAAGTTTTTCATTGAATTTGATTAGCCTACAGTGGGGCAATATCAGGTTTTGCCTGCTCAAAAGTGCGAAGCATCGCAAACAGCGGCTTGTGCTCACTTTAAACCTCATGTGCCAGAATTAAATGCAATTAAATGCAAGGCACACGCTCACACATGCATATACACACATACATATAATATTTGTGTATGTATATTATATTCAATGTAGCTAGCTGCACAGTGGGTGCAAAGTGCGAGTTGTGCCAATTGAATTTCGATTCGCTGTGCAAAGCCAACAACAAAATAAACACAAATTCGCTTTAGTTCGTTATATATGGCATAGCGTGCAGTCTCGTTTCGCCATAAAATGCATGATATACCTAATATAGCTATATATAAATATATATATATATGTATATATAGATATATGAGTGTAAGTTGGATAGTTTGTGCTGTTTCCAAGCGACTTGAAACTTTGATTCCGTCAACTTGATCAAAATGCTCACACTTGTTTATACTACAGATAAGTATATATATATACATATATATATATATATCATATATATATATACATATATGGGTAAACAGTTGGCCATAAGAAGTAAAGTATACGGCTAGATTCTTTATAATACACGTGAAACATTCTCATGTGCTCGACAATCGGTTCTTTTACTTTTGTGAATTTCTGATTAGCAGCGAGTGATAAGCGTCCTATGCAAAGTTCAGAGGCTTGTTTACGACTTTTGGGCATAGATTTATTTCAGATGACTCTTTATCAATATGCTTTTGCCCTAAAGATCAAATGCTTATGTTGGAAAAGAGTCGAAGAGTCTCTCAGATATCAGAAAGTATTTATATATCCTCTATATCTATATATATATATCCCTATATAGATCTTTAGAATGGCATCCAGAGTCTATAAATAGTTAGTTCCAACTGATGTGAACGCTGTCGAGTTTCGAAATTAATATTCTGGTTTGACTTTGGTTTATTATATTTTATAGTATTTTTCGATTTTGTTTTTATTTCTTAACAACTCGAAAGTGCTAGATGTGCCAATTTTTTGTTTGCTAAATTTTAAGTAGATTTAGAAGTTTTCGGTACAGTTTTCAACCTGATGCGGTAGCTGTATTGTCAGTCAGTCAATCAGTCAATCTCTCGCTCTTTCTCTCTCTTCTGTCTATGTTTCTCTTTTCATTTATGGCCTTTTCTCTGTCTCTCAATGTCTCTCTTTCCCTTTATGGCTCTCTCTGTCCCTCTCCCTCATAAGCCATTGCGCTTATCGCAAAAGAGCATTGAACTATTTGTTATGCGCAGCGGCGGCTGTCAATATTTTAATATGTTTTTAATTGTCCCATAATAGGTGTCTAGAAACAAACAATCAAACACACGCACACACATACTCATAAGCACGCTAATTGTGATTGTTTTGCATATGCATTTGCTGAAAACAATTAGCGGTAAATCATCTTTAGCTCATTTGTTGTTGCTTTTGTTTTTACTTTTGCTTTTGCTTTTGCGTTTGCCGTTGCCGTTGCCTGTGGTGGGCCTGGCCTTCTTGCAAGCGTGACAGTGGCAGTGGTTGTGGATCAATGCCTGGCAGGGCGAGCGGGAGGGGTAGAGATCACTGTTGTCGTTGTCTCGTTTGGGCAGCGAAAAAGTCAACAAGCGTCGTGCAAAACAACAAACGTCAATACACATGCATATATGCGCAAAGAGGGACAGAGAGAGAGAGAGAGAGAGAGAGAGAGAGAGAGAGAGACAGACAGAGAGCGAGAGCGTAGTAATCATCTCGTTGGTTCTCTTTTGTTTGCAGACTTTGTACTTTGCCCCACTGAACTTTGATCAGTGGTCGCGGCGCAGCTCGAGTGGAACGCAGCAGCGCGTCAACTGTTCGAAATCATTTTTCTTGTTTTTTTTTCATTTGAAATTTTATTTAAATTGTCTTTTTTGCTTAATTTAGTTGATTTCTTTAAATTCGACATTTTAATGTGCTTGTTTTTCGCTGTTTCTCTTCTGTTCTCTTGTTTTCGTGTGGTATTTATAATTCGCGCTGCGCAAATAATATTAGCCAGAATATCCGGCCCCTGGCCCCGTCTAACTAGCCTTGTCTAAACGCAGTCTTCGTTAAAGGCTTAACTTAAACATGGCCTTGACCAAGGTCAAGCTGAAACATCAGCTGCGAAGGGCACAGATGATCGCTTTCATAAACTTGACCGTCTCTCACACAGGCAGTGGACAATACAAACGCAATATTTTGAAAATAATGCGATGCGAATATTTTTTATTTATGTATGTTTTAAAATAAGTACATTTTCTTATTCGGAAATACTACATAAGCTGGAATATTGGGAACTCAAGTTCAAGTTAAGTCATGGATATTTCAAATGCTCTTCATAGAGGTGTTACATCTTTGTTAGTCTTATGAGTCTTATCACTATATCATATAATTTATCTATGTTTTCTTGCCTAATAAACACTATACACTTATCTATATTCCTGTTATATAGTCGAATAATTCTCAGTTCTTGCCTTCAGTTCTCTTCTATTTACTTTCAAATAGCGTTCTGCTGCGGCTTAAGCGCATTTATGTTAATTGAATTCAATTCTTCTAACCATGACCTATTCCCCATGCTAAGCATTAGAGCTCTTCCAAAACTTTGTATCCAAGTGCTTACATACTTGAGAGTATTGAACTTTTGCGAGCATTCTATTTATATACCAAAGAGAACAGCTCATAAAATAATACGTTCTAGATTAGATATAGTTCGATTTTTTGAGGAACTTAAGTTTCGTCTATGAGTAAAGCGAACTTTATATAGCTATATATATATATATATATATATATATATATATATATATATATATATATATATATATATATATATATATATATATATATATATATATATATATATATATATATATATATATATATATAAAATCTTCTTTGTTGTTCACATATATCTTGAATATTCTACATATACATAGCTGTATATGGAATATCTGTATCTGATATCATGATATCTCTTATATTAACTAAGCTTTCATTACGCTTTGCCGAAGATCAGCTTCGCTGCTTCAAGCTTTCTTTCATTGAGGTCTCTTGATCATAGATCTAAAATATATGATCTACGTTAAAGAGGTGTCTGTTGTCTCTGATCTTTCTTCTCAATTATTCCTAAGCTTCTTTCTATAAGATGTCCTGGAAACTGTTCAATATAAATGTAATTTACTAAGCATTTGCTTTTCTGCTCTTCCAGGTCTGCGTGATCACGGATCGTCAATATACGTATGCCCAGCTACGCGATGCCAGCGCCGCCTTTGCTGTGCGCCTGCAGACAAAGTTCAAGCTGTTCAAGCCCGATATCTTGGCCATTTGCTTGCCAAATATGCCAGAGTATCCGATCGCAGCGCTGGGCGCCATCGAAGCTGGTCTCACTGTGACCACGATTAATCCCATCTATACGCCAGGTAAGTCGCGTTCTGGGTCCGGGTTCGGGTCTGAGTTGCCAGCACGTTTGCGGCCAGTCGCGCCATCCGAACGACGCACTCGCGATAAGGTGACACAATTAAGCGCTAAATCTGGTTTAATTATCCCTTATCAGAGCGGTAATTGTGAAGTTTATGGGCGGGCGTAGTCCACGTCGAAAGATCACTGTTCCAGATAGGCCCCCAAATTATATTGGCGAGGTTACGAACTCGTCTCGAAGACTGACGCACATCTGTCTATCAATTCGTTGCTCTAAGGCAAGGCTTTGATCCACCATTAACGGATGCGACACAAAGTAAACAAGAAGAGGGCAAGAGAGGCCAAAGCGGGGATGCCAAGCTCAGCGTTGACTGATAATAGCGAGAGCTCGGCATGAGTCTGACTATTAATAGTGTACGATATAAACAGATGAGTGTAAAGGCAGCGATGAAACGTTACGAACGACACAAAAGCAAAGCTAGAAAACAGAATCAAGAAACGATAAACAAGCAACGTTTGCCAGAGATGAGTAGACAAATTCAGGAAAGTCCTTAAGAAGCTGAAACATATGAAAATAGTGGGACAGTGGGGTAATATATAGGGCACAGATTGAGAATATAAGAGAACGTGACAGCATCAAAGCACGAGTTATAGTTCATATTGAGCAAGGAAACGTTTACGAATGCAACACAAAGAAGAATGCAACAATAAGAGCTGTGTGCTGGAGAGGAGTAGACAAATCAAAACAAGTCCTTAAGAAACTGTAACTGAATAGATGAAAAGTGGGAAGAAGAAGGTGAATGGAAACGTTTACGAATGTCGCACAAAGCAGAATGCAAAATAACGGCCTTCGACTTCAGAGCTTTTCGCGCACAAGCTAATCTTTCGCTTTGGATTGCAGATGAGATCGCACGCCAGCTGACGTTCAGCAATGCCAAGTTCCTGGTGGGCAGCGTGCAAGGCTATGGGACGCTGCGTGAGGCATGCCAGCTGGCTGGCAAGCCGATGCCCATCGCTGTGGTGCGCAGCACTGAGGGCGAGTCGCTGCCGGCGGGCGCCATTGATTTCTTTGAGCTGATAAGCACGGAGAACGTGCGCTACGACGAGTTGCGCGCGCCCAAGGATGCGAGTCCTGACGACATGGTCTTCCTGCCCTTCTCCTCGGGCACCACCGGCCTGCCGAAGGGCGTGGTGCTGTCGCACAACAACATCAGCAGCAACTGCGAACAGATACAGGATGCGCTGCCCATTGATTCGCTCCAGTTCCAGGACACGCTGCCCGCGGTGCTGCCCTTCTTTCACATCTACGGCCTCACCGTGGTCATGCTCTCGAAGCTGGGACAGGGCGCTCGATTGGCCACGCTGCCCGCCTTCAAGCCGGACGACTTTATCAAGGCGCTCGACACCTACAAAGGCAGCATTCTCAACCTTGTGCCGCCCATTGGTGAGTAGCTGTAAGAGACGTCTCTGTCTAGCACTTATTAATGCTGTCTCTCTCTCCCACCCTCTCCTTAGCCTTGTTCATGATAAATCATCCAAAGCTGACGAACGACTTGGCCTCAGCGCTGCGCGTCGTCATGTCCGGTGCCGCGCCAATTGGCCAACACGACATCGAGCGCTTCTTGCAGAAGTGAGTAAAGAGCTCAGGATAAGCCCTTATAGCCAGACCCTACTGTTATCCCCGGAATATGCTCCTCTCTTGGTTAGGTCTATCTCTTGTTAATTCCCTAGTCGTGTCAACTTTTGATAAGCAGCTCAACTGGCAATCTAGTTAACTTTTGATAACTTGCTGATAAGCATTAATTAGCCTCCTCATAAGCTCTTACACATTGTTGCCACTTTCCTGATAAGATTCAGTTAATTATCTGATAAGTTTTCGTAAGTCTCTTTATAATCTGTCTAATTCAACCTCTTGTTAATTGCTTACCTCCCATTGATTTCCTAATTAGCACTTAAGTTTCTTGAGTCTTTCTTATTCTCGTGATGACGACATGTTTTTAGACTTCCGATCTCTAGCAGGTTTACCCCAACTATTTTATAAGCTTTCTGAATATCTCCTGCTAACCTCAGGATAAGCTGCGTGTAAACCTCCGCCTAGGTTCTTCTTACTCTTCTTTCAACCCTGTCTTAACAATATTCCATATAAATATAAAATACACTGCATACGTCCGTCCTTAAGCTAATCCCTTTCTCCCCTCTGCGCTTGTAGGTTCCCCAATACGCGTTTCATGCAGGGCTATGGCATGACGGAGGCATCGCCCGTTATCCTGATGACGCCCGAGGGCAATACACGTTATGCGTCGACAGGCTTGCTGCCAGGCAGCACGGAGGCCAAGATCGTGCCGTTGGAAGGAAGCGATACGAAGGGCGTGGGAGCGCGCATCACAGGTGAGCTGTGTGTGCGTGGACCCCAGGTGATGTCCGGCTATTTGAACAATGCGGAGGCCAATGAGGTGACCTTCTTTCCGGGCAAATGGCTGCGCACGGGCGATGTGGCCTTCTACGATGAGGACGGCTTCTTCTACATAACGGATCGCATGAAGGAACTGATCAAGGTTAAGGGCTTTCAAGTGCCGCCAGCTGAGCTAGAGGCCGTGCTGCGCGACCATCCCAAGATACTGGAGGCATCCGTCTTTGGCATACCCCATGAGCTGAACGGCGAGGCGCCGCGAGCCATCGTTGTGCTGCGCCAGAACGAGACGGCAACAGCCGAGGAAATCGCCGCCTATGTGGCGGAACGAGTTGCCCACTACAAGAAGCTCGAGGGTGGAGTCATCTTTGTCGAAGAGGTGCCCAAGAGTCCGACCGGCAAAATACTGCGTAGGGTTGTCAAAGAAAAGTATTCGGACTGAGCCAGCCAATCTCGCCAACTGAAGTTTTTACATAGCTGTTAAACATCTAACTATTTTTAAATGTATTTTTTTTTTTTGTGAATTTCGATTACCGTTTGGTATCTCTGTGGATCCGATCAAATGTGACCCGTCAATGTGTGGCAAGATGCGGGCATTGTGAGCATTGCATTTAGACAAGTGGCCCCCAGGGTGGCTGCGTGAATAGCGAGTAGAACATAGCGAGTAACGAGTAGCACGTAGTGAGTAGCGAGTAATTAGAACCGCGAAGTGAAAAGCTAAAAGCGCGTGGCGAGTGACAAGTGGCGAGTAACGAGTAGGAAATAGCGAGTAGTTGCTGGAGCATTGCAAGTGCTAAGAATGGATAGCAACTGTAAGGCAGCGAGTGACGGGATGGACGTAGCGAGTAACGAGTAGCAACAACCTGTGACGAGTGGCGAGTAGCGAGTAGTTGATAGAGAGCTGCAGGTGCTGAGAATGGATAGCAACTACAGAGGAGCGAGTGACAGGATTTGAGTAACGAGCAACGAGTAGGAACTACCGAGTAGCTGTTAACGAGTTTGCTTTAACGAGTAGCGAGTAGTTGCTAGAGCATTGCAAGTGCTAAGAATGGCTAGCGACTATCGAGAGTAGGAACAACCGGGTAGCTGTTAACGAGTAGCGAGTAACGAGTAGCGAGTAAATAGTCACTGGATTGGTCCATAGCTTGTAAGTTTCGTAGCGCTATTTAGACTCGTAGCCTAGGCTTGTGTGTACCTAAACTGCAACAGAGTAGATATTGATAACGCTGGACCTGCATAGTATACCATAGTATACACCTATATCAGTCCAATCCCCAACGGACTTAGCCTAAGCCACATTTTTTTGTTATCTTTACTAAGTATGTAAGCTAGTGTCTAGATATTGATATATTTACAACCATACGGATGTCTACATATATGTATTTTACTTGTATATGAAAGCTTTGTAATAAAGATTTGAGTGACTAACGTATCCCCGAGTGTTTCCAGTTAAAGACATTCTACTGGGCATATTTCTTTTCTTTTTCAATTTATTTATTTACGACAAAATACACAAAATTTTAGATTCGATTTATTTAGTTAGATTCTCTTGCACTGTGAAACATGTATCAATTTAAGTTATTTGCACTTAACATACAATAGAAAAAAAAAATATATATATTCATTCATATATATATATATATACATGTACATTATATATATTTATACTTTTGTTATTCTGAATTGTGTGTAAATGCGTTTACTTTGCAGATTCTGCTTCGGTTAATCTAGATTTTTTTTTTTTGTTTTTCTCGTTTCTCTTTCTTAACAATTTGTGTAATCGGAATTTCATTTTTCTTTACTCTTAACGTGGCTGCATTCACTGTGCTGAGCTGTCTCGATCTGCTGCGCAATAGAGTCTTTCCTCTCAACTCTAAGCAGTTCCTGGTTTCTTAAATAGAACTGAGGTTCGAACTGCACTTAACTGACTTAAGATCATTTTTAGATTGAATTACAATTGCATAAAATATCAATTATTGCTGGCCTCGATGCGTCGCAGTTGGGACAACTCCTCAAAGTGTTGCAGCCTTGTCGAATTATACTAGAAAACCAAAATAGGTTAAGGCAAAACATAAACAAAAAAAAAAACATTTATTTCGTACAAATATCGTTTTATAGCGCCTTCTCTCTAAATAAATAAATATATATAGATAAATATATATATATGTATATATATTGATTTCGTTCAGAGGGACAAATAGATTGTGAACATTAAAAATTGTTTTAACTAAATTTAAGTTTCAATAAATGGGAAATTTCGTGTGCGGATGTGGAAGAGCGGCTGCGACTGAGGCGTCATTGAAATTTAGGGTGCATTAAACTGAGTGTGTGTGTGAGTGTGTGTGTGTGTGTGTGTGAGTGTGTGTGTGTGTGTGAGTGTGTGTGTGTGTGTGAGAGTGCCTGTTGGTTCCGGTTGGCACAGTGGGACGTTGTCGTTGTCTTTTACAGGCAGTAATTGTAGTTCGAGTGTTGTTAAATTGCATGTTGGCAGTGTTGCAAAGCAACCAAGCAGTGCGTTGCACAGCACTGCTCAACACTTGACGCGTTTTCGAATGCTTTTGTGCGATGATTGTTGAGCTTATGAACTAAATGATGACAGATAGAAATACAAATTAAATACAATTACATTAGACACATGCACGCACAGCTCTGTGTGTGTGTGTGTGTGAGTGTTACATACGTCAATGTGTGTAAATATATATATATATATATATATATATGCGTGTATCAATAAATTTGTGTTTACAAATTGTTTTTCTTATTTCTTTTTTTTTTTGGTATAATTTTTTTTGTTTTTGGTAATTTCTGCTTATTTATCGAGAAAAGGCCACAAAATGCGTTTGCGAATGCGTGCGAAATGCATAATTTTCTTTTTTTTTTTTGTTGTATATATTTAGCTTTAGCTTTAGTTTGATCTGATTTCTCATTTGATTTATCAAACTATTCCCAGGAGTTCTGCTGGTGGGGCGGGGGCCTCTGCTGTTTTCTGCTGTGCACACACACTGACACACATAATATCGGAGTACATTTTGCTATATATATATATCGCTGTATATATATATATGTGAGATTATCGTTCGATTCCATTGATTCTTCAAATGCGCTCGCCAGCTCGCTCTAACAAATGCGTTCTTCTTCTCTCTTTTTCGTTCTCGTTTTTCTTTAGCTCTCTCTCTCCCTCTCTCCCTCTCTCTCTTTCTCTGTGTTTCATTATCTTTCTCTTTCTTTCATTTCCAGTTGCAATTCCTTTTGGGGTTACGTTGTCATTGCCATTTGCTGCACATCCCATTCGAATAGGTTTCACGCCTTGGCGCCGGGTATCTTGGACAGCACCTTGGACAGATCCACTCCGGTCAGCGCGTTGATCGAGGGCGGCAGCTGGGCCACAAGGCGTGTCACATCGTTGGTCAGATTATCGTTGCCGCCAATGAGCACAATTTCATCCGTCTTGGCCAATGGGGCAGCCACCTCTGCAGCGATCTGTAATCAAAGGCAAATTCATATAGCTGTCTCTCTTCACGACTTCCTCCCGCTCTCTCTGTCTTACCTTGGGCAGCGACTCGAGCACAATGTTCATGATAGCTGCATCGCCGTACTGCTTGTAGACGTTCGCCTTCATTCGCATGCGCTCCGCCTCCGCCTTGCCCACCAGCTCGATGGCATGAGCTTCCGCCGCGCCGATCTTACGGATACGCTCCGCCTCGGCTCTGGCGCTCTCAATGGTCTGGCACCTGTTTAGAGTGGAGACAAATTGGATCAGAGCTAACATAATTGAACAGTATATAGATGTATATACTTAGATATAGAGATATATATATATATAGAGTTAATCGAGAATTTCGGCTTCAAATAAATATTACTCATACGACGCGTTGTGCGAGTGAGAATAACACAAAACTCAGAATTGAAACTGTAAATTTTGAATATGCATGAGCAATATATGGATATAGTTAGAACAAGTGATCTCACTTTTATATAAGTGTTTTGAAAGTAACTAAATTTAAATATTACTCATACGTTGCGTTGTACAAGGTGAAATGAAATCAAGAATTAATCTCCAGATTGAACAGAATATTAAGCAGTCAGTTATGCCATGTTGCAAATATTGTCAATAATCATAAATTTCTTCTGATAAAGCATGGAATTTGACAACTTCTTCTTGGTTGGGATTTGACGACTAGAAATGTCTGTTCGCATCGAGTTGGTTGCGTTTCACTTACTGTTTGCCCTGGGCGATTGTCTGGACGCGATAGGCTTCAGCCTCGGCGGGCAGCTTGACGGTGCCGATGAGCTCGCGATCCTTGCGCTGCACTTCCTGCGACTCGATCTCGATCTGCTTGCGACGCTCGACAACGTCAATCTGGATCTCCTCGTTTCGGATGCGCTGGCGTATCTTGGCCGCCTGCAGCTCGTAGGCCAGCTGCGACTCGGCCTTGGCCGTGTTGATCTCCTGATCGAAGTTGGCCTTCTGCAGCTTGTACATGCGCGTATTGTCCTCGATCTTCGTGTCCGTCGAGTACTTCACATCCATGGCGCTCTTCTCGCACTCGGCTTCCCTGATGCCAGCATCGCGATTGGCCTCAGCGACGCCTGCATCGGCGTCCCGCTTAACCACCGCCGTCTGCGCCTTGCCCAGCGAGGCCAAGTACTGCACATCATCGTAGACGTCCTTGATGGTAAAGGACAGAATCTCGATGCCCATGCGGCCGACATCAGGTGCTGCTACCTCGCGCACAAGCGCAGCGAACTGGTCGCGATCTTTGTAGACTTCTTCGACTGTAAGCGTTCCTGTAGAAGGATGGAGAGAGAGAGAGAGAGAGAGAGATGGGTATAGCGTGCGAGCGAGAGATATTGTCACATTCAGTTGGAGCTTAGCTAGCGCTCGCTTACCGCTTAACCACCAACCAGGTGATGCCCACTATCATGACCACCTTAAAGGTACCAATCCACACCATCGACATGACTCGCTCTTGGCTGTTGGCCGTTGACTGTTGGCCTGTTCAAGGCCCAATTAGTAGCCCGTCTAAGTACACACTGACAGCAGTGAGCACTGTATTAACCGTTTATACCTAGCCTAGCCACTCAACTAGTTCTTTACTTTTAATTAAGACATTTGTATTACCCTTGACGTCATTGGCGCAGTCTTATCGACTGAGTGCTGGGCGCTTATCAGCGCACGTCACCGTGCAGCGGGCAGGGACAGAGCACGAGCTTTCTCTGCCCGAAGCTTAAAGCACTTAAAGCTTTTCAATATTGGCTTTCGCAGAGCTTTGCATTGTTTTTAACGTATTTTGATTTATGTTCACTTCAGATGTCGTATTCGATATTTATAGTGTTTTCCGTGAGACCTTCGATTTGTCTGAGAACTATTTGACGAGCTTACTCTATTTCTATTAGCTCTATGTATCAGGTATTCCAGTTTGCTTATCTATTATTTGGCACCACTGTTTTGTGTGCTGCAAGGACTTGGACAGACCTGGGTATATTGGCACAGGGCGGCATAGGTAAAGCTAGCTCAAGTATTCAGACCAAGGATATCTGAATATCTGAATCATAGCACAAATACTTTGGTATGCCTCTTGAGACATTGGCAAGGTTAGTTATAATTTTGATGTTCGACTATTTAAGGCTGACCCCTAAACAAATTGAAGGTCAAGATCGAAGAGGGCTTCGTCTATTTGCTCGACACATACACCCTTCACACAGCTGAGCGGTTCACACGCGATTCAATTCGAAAAAAAAAAAACGGAATAGAGGTCGGTACGATTGGGGGCGGCTTTGCGGTAGGTACTACAATTGGCAGCCGCTCGGAAACGTTGCGACCGGAGCGTCGCTCGACGCGCTTACAACTGACACAGCAAACACGAGAGAGCCTCCCCGTACCAAGACGACGCGTCGTCAAACTAAATATTCCATTTGAGCGCGCGTTGCACAATTGGAAATCGCCTTGGGCATGAGATATACGATTTATGCTCTAAGTATAGCAATTATAGCGATTCTAGCCCTCGCACTCTTTCGGCCGTAATAACGCGGCTCTTTTCGAATCTATTCGAATCACACGCACCGAGCTCAGTTCAACGCACTCGTAAAGCCTCTCAAGTCTACTTTGATTAAAGCAATCAATTTGGCGGCAAGGTCGAGCCACAAACTCGATTAGAATATGACGTAGCCGATGACTAGCGATAGGCAGCGAGACGCTGAAAGTTAACTATTCAAGGGTTCTAGCCGAGTACTCGACTAGCTCCAATTATCATAGAGCTTGAGCTGAGCTCTAAGTCCACTTCAAGTGTTAACAATACCAGTTAACTGAACTGCTCTTAAAGCAGCTGGCGACACGTTGTCAGTTCTTTAACCTGGCTTTTGTCACATCCATTAGCAATTAGCGTGACTCAGACTCGTGCCTTCGCTTACGGGAAAAGTATATTAAACGGGATTCATTCCTTCACATACGTGATGAGCCCGATTTCAGCATTGTTGTGTAGGCGAAAGGAGTATATTGGCCCGGCTGTCTAATCATTAATGAAGCTAGGAACTTGACTTAGTTGAATATATACTCGTATATATATATCAATATATATATATATATATATATATTTCTTTAGCTACTTCTGTGAGGTGGATAGCAATAATTCTGGGAACGAGTATTAGGCAGTCGGTAGCACCCGATGGCTGGCAAAGTTATTGCATTTCTGAATATTTTTAAACAGTCTGGCAACCCTAACACTAACATTGACATGGCAATAGTTTAGTTTCCCATAGAACCTGTCCAACTCTGATCAGATTTGCGTGGAGCTCATTGTCAATCCACTTAACAGGCAGAAAAGCTTTTAACAGGAACATAAAGTCGAAGAGAATATAGCCTTACGTGTATCTAAAGTCGCATGTTGACTTACCCAATATGGCGCGCAGATGTCCTTCCAGGGTTTGCAGAATGGTTTGCTTGATCTCCTTGACGCTCTTGCCCAGGAATTGCTCGCTGGCGGTGCCCAGCAGCTCGTCGGCCTGATGATGAAAATAATAAACATTCATCATCTGTGTGTGTGTGTGTGTCGGTGTGTGTGTGTGTGTGTGTGTGTGTGTTTGGGTATGCGAATAGTTGATTAAATGAATTGATGATCGTGTTATTAATTGATTAATATTTGTTGTTGTTTGATACGGCACACACAGAGATGAATAGAGAGAGAGAGAGAGAGAGAGATAGGTAGAGGGAGAGAGTGGGACGGACAATCCAAAGACACAGTCAAATAGCAATTATTTAATAATTTGTTATCGATAGGTTTTTGATTAGTTTTCGAGTAATTACGATTCATTTATACCCACACACACGCAATACAGGTTCGCACACACACACACACACGCACACATTAAACGTAACAGTAACCGTAACATTAACAGTAACATTAGCAGTAACAGTAACAGTAACGGTAACAGTAACATTAACATTAGCAGACGTTTAGCAGTAGGCGTAATTCAGATGAAGTTTTTGTTTTTTTTTTTATTAATAATTATTATTATATATTAGTTGTTGTTGTTGTTGTTGTTTTTCAAGCGATTTGTTAATTTTGATTTGTTATCATTTACAGTTGTTTGTTTGTTTTTTTTTTTTTTTTTGTCGGATTCGTTTGATGAGTTGAGTTGATTGGAGTCGAGTTGAGTTCAGTTGATTCGAACGATTCGAGCGCAGGGTAAGTGGTTGGTAAAAGAAAGTAGAGAAGAGGTAAAAAAACACAAATGTCAAAAAATTTCGACTGTTTATGTAGACTGTAGACTCAATTGAATAAAGCTAAAGGGCATAAAGGGCGCCTTTTCTCGCATACAATATAATGAATGAGTGCTACGCTTACTATTTACTATGCAGGCATGTATATGTGCATGTGATACAAATCATAAGATCTTAACGACAAAGACATGCAGCAAATGATATGGCATCTATGGTAGAAACAGGGAACTCGACTCAGGGTCTGAATCGTGCGTGAGCTGTGCGTGGGTGTGTGCTATGGAGTGAGTCAGTGTGAGTGTGAATAACGAAACCAAAACCGAAATGAAAATTGTTAAGGAGCAAACGATGTTAACGCAATAAACATACCTCGTTGTTAGCATAATCATTATTTTTATACGAAGATGACTGTAATAATGAAATGAAAATAATTAACGAAGAACTTAATTTTGAATCATTGAATGCTGAAGAGCCAAATAAACTGTGCGTATCAAATCATGCCTAGTGACAAAAAAATATAAACAAATAAAAGAAAGAAGAAAAACAAAATGTTCATAACGAGCGATTACGATTGTGAGCCGACGATTCTAATTCTCAGAAGTGCTACTGTGAATGATTGATTCATTGATAAGTCTGGTGAGCTTTGATCCATTCAGTTTCTTAGGCTAATATTTATTTGATTTACAGATATTTACAAATGCCATGGAATATTCTAGGCAAGGTTCAACTACTGTGAATGAGTTGACAAACGGAAAATGCTGTGAATAATGATTCAAATTGCTTACACTGGAATTCTTAGTCAATGTATTATAATGTATTATTAACAGATGCTAGCTTAAACTAAACTAATTCAAATCATAATGACTGTGAATGATTGAATCAGTTGCTTGGGTCGTAAACTATGATTGGTGAATTTATAGCTACTGCAAACTGCAAACTGTGAATAATGATTCGAATATCAGAGTTCCTAAATTGTGCACTATTATATACAATCGAACTTGGTTATGATTCGATTTGTGGATACATAAATCATTCAATCATAGATTTCTGATTCAAGTTGACTCTAACATATATGTATACATATTATTTGCGATTTAAGTAGTGATTCATAGTGTGATTCGAATCGCGGCACTGCTATTATTTGAGTGAGACTGTGCGAAAAGTGCTATGGGTCACAGTTACTGTGAATTCATGAATGCTGTGCATGGGAAGTAGTGCGCCAAGTCACAGCAATGATTCAAATGCTATACTCAATACATATTTATACGAAACTAAAGCAATTTTCACAAGTTTACGATACGTTCTACACTTACTTTTGATGGATCAGTTCTAAGGCGCTTGCAAGGCTAAATATAATTGAATTGATTCGGAAATGTGGTAGGGATCGGGTGGGGTGGGGGGATTCGAAAGAGTTAAAACATACTTAATAAAAAAAAATGCTAAATCGGATTAAAATATACGATAATTGTATGAATATATATATTTATAAACTGTTTCATTGGGTAGATATGATGCTAAAAGGAACTGTAAGCCAAATTTCAGACGCGTTTCTACGTAGCTACGAAAAATGCATGCCAAATACGAAAGATTATATAAGAATTGGATTATATATGTATATATAAATAGGTATATCTGTTGGATAAAGGGAAGCTAAATAACTTGCATAACGAAACTGAAAAACTGCAATTACTTGCTCCCAGTGAGAGAGCAGCTAACGTAGCCGATGAAAGTGGCTAAAAAGGAAAAGAGGAGAGAATGACGGCTCGCCCGCTCGCCCACATACCTTCATGATCTTGCACTGCGCCACGCCGGTCACCGTCAGCGGTACGCCCTGGGCGGTCTCCACGTTCTCGCACATCGGATTCAACGTCATCACGTTCAGCGAGAGCCGTTGCACGTCCGTCACCAGCCACCAGGCCCAGGCCCAGCCGCCGACAATTGTTCGCTTCTTCGTCGAGCCACAGCAGCCACCTAACAGAGTGACAGAGAAGAAGAGAGAGAGAGAAAGATTGAGAGGGTGAGCAGGAGTGAGTTAATATTCAATAGAGCTGGCAGCTTAGCAGCTTTAAAGCTACATTTTCAAACATTAAATAGATAAAAAAATATTATGCAAATGGACTTAAAAATTATAAAATATACTGAAACTTCCATAGCTTTTACCAATAATAAAATAATAATAAAATTAAAATAAAAATAAATGAATAAACTACTCTAAGCTTAGCTGGTTTTTTGTCTTAAATATAAATATTTAGAAATATATTTAAATATTTTTAAATAATTTTATTATATTTAAATAGTACTAGTAAAAGTAGTTAAATTGTAAGCCAAAACCCATATTTACTGGGTATACAGGCAGTCGATGTCTATTTTTACCAAGCCGCTAAAAACTAGCCCTTATTCAAAGCTTTTCAGTTGCAGCTTGCACTGCTGACGTCATTGGGGCAGGCCAAGTCTGTGTCCGAGTTGTTGGTGACCCACAAATGTTGCTGGCTGTGACACACGCACTTTTTTTCTTTTTGGCTAGGGGCGTAGCATCATAATGGCCAATGGCTTATATAGTAAGAGTGAAAGCATTTCGCAGTCGTCAAAGCACTGCCCGTGTGTGTGTGTGTGTGTGTATGTAGGTGTGTATATATGTGTTATGTCTACGTGCCGGCAAACACGTCACATCGCGTCAAAGACTTGATGAATGAGCATGGTGGCAGCCAAGAGTGCCAGCAAGAGAAGCCAAACAGGAAGCGCTTGTCCATTTGAGGTGCCACCTAACGGTTCAATTCGCCTGCTGTACGCTGCCCACAATGCAGGCCGTCGCCGCCATCAAACAACGCCAAAGGGCATGGTGAAGGCTGCGCAGCTGCAAAGGCGCATACGAGCTGAGAGAGTGTGTGTGCGCGCGTATGTGTGTATGTGTGTAAGAGAGAAAGAGAGCGAGTTGGAGTGGCCATTTCTAGCTTTGTTGCTGTTTGGGCTCCGTTTTAATGGCTCAATGCTTCAGTTGGCCAGCGAACGTCGCAGCGCGCGGCCGTAGTAACCGCACAGAAAGAAAGTGTTAAAGAAAGCGTACATAAACGTACAAGTAAAAAGAGAAGCTTCAGATCGAACGCAAGCTTAAAGTGAGCAAAAGCAAAGGCAAAAGAAACAACAATTGCACTAAGCTAAATATCAACTCCTTTGCCATAGATCCACAACGCAAGTGAGTAAGAAAGGAAAATACATATCCACGCGTGCATGTGTGTGTGCGTTCGTTAATATATAAATAAACAAAATCACAATGCAAAAGTGTGCCAATGGGCAAAAAGAAATCAACGTGAACAAGAGAAGCGGCAGCGCAGCAACAGCGACGGCAACAACAAGGAACGCAAACAGTCAAAAATTCTAAGCCGACGCGTCGACGCATGCGTAGTGGTGGCGACGACGTCGACAGCGACGTTAGCACGTTAGCGACGCCTACGCCAGCAGAAGCTTTCTCAACGAAAGTGATTCATCGCCGCTTCGTTAAGTGTTCGTTGTGATAACTGTAACTGTAACTGTTGTGCTCGTCGCTGTTGTTGCCTGCGTATGTTGTTATGCATTTCTCTTTAACGATATTTGCTTGACTATTTAGCGGCTATTCGCATGGCTGCAAAAGCAGCGCTGCCGCTGCGTGGCTGTTGCTGCTGTTACTGCGGTGCTTTGGCATTTTTTTTCCGCTAGTACCTTGAACTTGAGCAGCGCTGCGCACATTCAACTCGACGCAGTGGCAACCTGTTTGCAACAACAACAACAGCAACCAAGCGCAGCAACAAGTTTGTAATTGTGACTACACCAACAACAACAGCGGCAAGTGCTGGCGCTGTTAGCCGTTAGTTTAGCTCGAAGCTAGCCAAAGATTATGCAAAATCAGGAAACAGTTTTGGCGGCAGCGCCGCCGTTAGGGCTGCCACCAAACTGGTTGCTGTGTACTTACAGCAATTGTTGCCTAGCTTTTTGACAAGAAACAATTGAGAGAAAATCGGTGTTTTTCTCTTTTTTGTTTTGTTGGATTTTGTTTCGGAAGGTTTTATAATCGATGCGAGAGATTTCACTTTTATGCGGGAGGCCTTTTACCCCAACTCCGAGTGCAGCGCATGCAACAAAAAATACTTGGCCGTATTGTTGCTGTATTGTTACAGCCAGTTGTTGGCTTAGAGTCTATTGTATATGCATATATCGCTGGGAAGACCTGCTTACACCTCACAATCTCTTTGCTAGGGGGATTACCCTTTGCCTGCAATGGATCACAAAGCATAGATACGTTCAGAAGGTCAAATTGCTAAGCATTCCAAGTAACTATAGAGAGATTCGCACTGTTCTCTTTTGCCTTTTGCAATGCAGGCTTAAGCTTTGTCAAGCTTTCCCACACGTGCTAGAGCTTTCTGTAACGGTAAACGAATGTTTATGGCCAGCTAAGGAACTTGTTCTTGTTGCTTGAAGTACAGCTGAGAGCTTGCTGAAGAGGTGTCCATTGCACTCGTCGCTTAGATCTGATAAGCGAGTGGGGCATGTTGGGCAACCGGGTACAGGGTATGCATAACAAATGGCAGCCACAATCGCGTTACGAAATTGCCGAAGTGCCGCAGATCGTGATCGAAATGTTGAGGCGCGTGAAAAGCTTCGATTCGAGCAATCGAATCGCCTAACCCGATTACATATATTACAAACGTGACTTTTCATCACATATTTGCTGATTTATTTCTTTTCTTTTCATTTTTGTTTCAATTGCAGACACGTCGTGGCACGTTGGAAGATCGCTATCGCCTGACTTGGAGACAGCCATTAGAAGGAGCCTTCAACCATGAGCTCGGCTATTGTTGGCGCTGCCTCGGCCATCGGGGGCGCGGTGACGGCGGCAACCAGCAACACCTGGTTCATACCCATGCTTATGGCAGCGGTTGCCTACTTCCAGTACGAGGAGATCATGGATCCCGAGTCGAAGCCCAGCGATGTGAGCAGTGACGACATTCTGGACCACTATGATTTTATAGTGATAGGCGCCGGTTCGGCCGGCGCTGTGGTGGCCAATCGCTTGACCGAAGTCGAAAATTGGAATGTCCTTCTGCTGGAAGCGGGCGGTGACGAGACAGAGCTAACGGATGTCCCACTGATGGCCGGATACTTGCAGCTATCCAAAATTGATTGGCAGTACAAAACGGAACCGTCAGGCACTTCTTGCTTGGGTAGGTGTTACCAACGGACAAGGAGAAAGCTTCTACCCAAATCTTTTTAGGCAGATCACTCTCTTCTTTCCTTGTCGTCACCTTTCATGCTACCGTTTCTTATGCTATACGATCTACTACTTTCAGCTATGCAAGGCGGACGCTGCAACTGGCCGAGGGGCAAGGTGTTGGGTGGCAGCTCCGTGCTTAACTACATGCTGTACCTGCGCGGCTCCAAGCATGACTATGACAACTGGGAGGCACTGGGCAATCCTAGCTGGTCGTATCGCGATGCACTTTACTACTTCAAGAAGTCCGAGGATAATACCAATCCATATTTGGCGAGCACGCCCTACCATGCCACAGGCGGCTATTTGACTGTGGGCGAAGCGCCCTACCACACGCCCCTGGCGGCCAGCTTTGTGGAGGCGGGCGTGGAAATGGGCTACGACAATCGCGACTTGAATGGCGAGAAAATGACGGGCTTCATGATTGCCCAGGGCACGACAAGGCGTGGTTCGCGCTGCTCCACCTCCAAGGCATTCCTGCGACCAGCCCGTCTGCGTCCCAATCTTCACATCTCAATGAACTCGCACGTGACACGCATTATGATCGATCCGGTTAGCAAGTTGGCCTTTGGAGTGGAATTTGTTAAAGAGCAGAAGCTCTATCATGTGCGGGCCACCAAGGAGGTTGTCCTCTCGGGCGGTTCAGTGAACAGTCCGCAGCTGCTGATGCTAAGCGGTATTGGCCCACGCAAGCAGCTGGCCAAGCATCGCATACCGCTCATCAAGGAGCTCAGCGTCGGCGAGAACCTGCAGGATCACATCGGACTGGGCGGACTCACATTTCTCGTGAATCAGCCGGTGTCCATAGTGGAGAACCGCTTTCACACCATGTCCACGGTGCTGCAGTACGCGGTCTTTGGCCAAGGTCCGCTCACCATTCTCGGTGGCGTTGAGGGCTTGGCCTATGTGAATACGAAATATGCCAACAGCTCGCTGGACTGGCCGGACATAGAGTTTCATTTCGTTTCTGGCTCAACGAATTCCGATGGCGGATCGCAGCTGCGGAAGGCGCACGGCCTCTCGGATTCGTTTTACCGTTCGGTATTCGAGCCGATCAACAATCGGGATGCCTGGAGCATAATTCCGATGCTGCTGCGTCCACGCAGCACGGGCAGTATTAAGCTGCGCAGCAGCAATCCCTTCGACTATCCTTACATCTTCCCCAACTACTTGAAGGACGACTTCGACCTGAAGACCCTCATCGAGGGTGTCAAGGTCGCCGTCGCTCTTTCCCGCACCAAGGCGATGCAGCGCTTTGGCTCCCGACTGTCCAGCATACGTTGGCCGGGCTGCGAGCATCTCGTCCCATTCACGGATACCTATTGGGAGTGCATGGTGCGTCGATACACGTCGACTATTTACCATCCGGTGGGCACCTGCAAAATGGGCCCCTACTGGGACAAGGATGCGGTCGTCGACGCCAAGCTACGAGTCTACGGCATACGCGGACTGCGCGTCATCGATGCCAGCATCATGCCCAAGCTCGTCTCGGCCAACACAAATGCGCCCGTGATCATGATCGCCGAGAAGGGCAGCGATATGATAAAAGAGTTCTGGATCAAGAATACAATAGTCTGATAAGCGAATATCTTCCTTTTATGCCTCCGTATATGTGTGTGTGTGTGTGTGTGGATTAGAGTGTGTGCATCTGTGTGTGAATCGAACTGTGAGTGTACTTGTCTCTATCGTTTTTTTGTGTTTCCTAGACTTAATCCAAGCTCTTTAATAGTTTTTTTTTTGGTATTTATAAGCGAATCTTATGTATTTATTGTAACTTAACGAAACAGTGAAGCAATGTCCAGTAAAATGAACATTTTCTTTCAATTTCAAGTGGTATATTCGACTATCCTTTGCCAGAACAAATTATAGTCTAGACCAGTATTGAGATGAATAAAACAAGAAGAAGAATAATAACAAATAATCTGCGGTGTGGACTAAAGTATGTGAGGGTAGGATCAATGGTACTAACTGGAGGCTCTTCGGACTAATTCATGAACTATCTGTGAAGCACACAGGAATAAGATTCTAAAGTGGTTTCAATGTAGATCAGATCTTCCAAAGATTAACGTCTTAAGTATATGAAGATATTGCTTGATTATAAGTGTCCTTATATGGTATGCTGTTATTTATCACTGTTATATAGGTGATCTTTGGTTTAATTGGCTGGCTCAAGGAAGTATCTCATTGGTTTCCCCTGTTGTAGGTGGATTCGCTGATGCTGCCTGTTCGAGCAGCTCATTGGGCAGCAGACTCTGTTGCGATTGATCCTCCACCTGTTCATCTCCTAGCTGATCCTCGCGTATCATACGGGCCGCCTGCTCGCCAATCATCATGGCGGGCGCATTCGTATTGCCCGCCGTAATCTCTGGGATGATGCTGGCGTCCGCTACTCGCAGTCCTTGAATGCCGCGCACGCGCAGTCGCTCATCGACGACGCCCAGAGGCTCGCTGGAGGCGGCCATGCGGCAGCTGCCGACTGCATGCCACGCGCCCACAAACATGTAGCGTATGTGGCACAGCCAGTAGGCATCCGAGTCCGGCTCAAGGACATCGCATTCGGGCAGCGGCGGCAACCACAAGCTAAGGCCGCAGCGCCGGAAGGCGCGTGTGTTCAGCAGCCGCTGCACGTAGCGCACGAAGCGCAACAGCGTGGCACGATCGTCTGGATGCGAGGCATAGTTATTCCTTACCAGCGGTGGCTCGCTCGGATCGCTGCTGCGCAGTGAGACGCTGCCGCGCCACTTGGGCAATATCAGCGAGCCCATGATCTGCAGCAGATCTGTCTGCTGCAGGGCCGCTCGCTGAGCGGCTATCAGGGCCGAGCGAAAGCCCAGGTAGCCAAAGCTGCCGTCGCCGCCGCGTGGCAGCAACGTGTGTGCGACCACGTGCACGTCTGGCTGCCCGGAACGACTCGTTGGCGCACTCGAGTTGATGAAGCCCATCATCGAGAAGCTCGCGGCCAACGGACCGCGTTGTCCTTGCAGCAAATACTCCGCCACAGAGGCGGGCTCAAAGGCACCACGCCCACTTGCTGGTCGACTGCTGTTGACGGCGCAGCTGGAGCCCGAGAAGCGCAAGAACAGCGGCAACATGCCATGATCATGAAGATTCTTACCCACACCCTCCAGCGGCAGGCGTGGCTGTATGCCAAGCCTGCTTAGCTGTCGGGCTGGCCCAATGCCGGACAGCAGAAGGAGCTTAGGCGAGTTGAGCGCACCTGCGCTTAGGACTAGTTCGCGACTGGACCAAGCGGTGAGCGTGCGATTGCTGGCCATGTGATAGTAGCTGACGCCGCGTAGCCGTTGTCCGCTGGCGCTGAGCAACAGCCGCTGGGCCTGAGCACCGCGCAGTATGGTAAGATTGGGACGGGTTACGCCAGCCAGGTAACTGCGAGCGCTGCTCACCCGTCTGCCTTGGTTTATCGTGGCCGGCACCTGATGTGTGTAGCCAAAGCTGCTGCCGGAGAGTAAGGGCTGCTGCATCCGGGGCACACCTAGCTCCGAGCTGGCAGCATAGATGAGCTCGGCCAGTCGCTGGTTGAGCGGCTCGATGGGAAAGTAGCTCAGCTTCAGTCGCGACTGCAGCTGGCGGTACGCACGCTGCACTTGCGGCCAATCCCAGCCCTGGAGGCCTAGACGCCAGCGCCAATTGCGAAAGTTGGTTGCACTGCCCGGCACATAGATATTTCCGTTGAGAGCGCCTGTGCCGCCCAGCATGCGTCCGTGCCACCAGCAGCAGCCATGCGGTGGCTCCATGGCCTGGCAGCACTGAGGATTCGGCTCCGCCTCGCTCAGCCACATGTAGCGCGGGTCGTGGTGCATGGAGCCACTCAGTGCATAGATCTCCGATTCGAGCGGTGGGTCCTGACCCGCCTCCAGCAGCAGCACCGTCACATTGGGCTGCTCTGCCAACCGACTGGCTACAATGGCGCCCGCGCTGCCCGCACCCACCACGATGTAATCGTAGCTAGCTGGACTCGTGGGATTTCCTATTACACTTGCTGGCCAATCGCTGGTTAGCGCCCGGCTGGATGCATTCAGTGCTGACGTCACGGAGTCTATCAAGCCTAGGCCGACGCCATTGCTGGGTGCCTGACTGCCAGCGGCCTGCAGAGGCAGGGGCAGAGGGTGCAGCAGCAGCAGAAGGAATGCAGCCCACTTGGCTCCTCGTAGGCGTCTCATTGCGAACTGCTGTGGGCCCGGCGAAGTTTGGTGCTGCTCGTTAAATACATGAAGCTAAGTTGCTTTATTTCATCTGTTTTTTTTTTGTTTTAGGCAATTAAAATATTATTTTTATCTTTATTTACAGCTTTGCCTGTTTTTAATTCTGGTTGTTTACGCTGCGTTTTAAATTTCAAGTATTTAATGCTGCTCGACTCGAAGCTTTTAATCCCGCCCGCACGCATGCAGCGTCGCTCGTTCGCCCTTTAGCTGGCCCAATGAACTCGACAATAATACACTGAGCGAGACAGAGAAAGACATAGAGAGTATGTAAGGTCGAGCGAGACAGAGCGTGAGCTTTTACTGCATGCTAACAGCGCCGCTTAAAGCTGTGTCAACAGACTGTTAACAGTTGCTCGAATGAAAGCTGCCCATTACACCATTTCCCTTCCATATGCCCTACATAAAAGAGCGAGCTTTCGCTGTTAACTAACAGCGCAGCTAATAGATGTAGGTGCTTACTGTTAACAACTGAGCGATCTCTGCTGTTAACTTGCTGCCAGCATGCCCTATAATAATCGACGCTTTCTGTGCTTGAAATACCCTAGAATGCTGTGCAGCTGCGTGGCATATTAATGAAAGCTTATATTAGCCACTCTAAAACTGAACAGCAAATAGTCATTGCAATATACACTGTAATAACATCTGAAATTTCAAATTGATTTTTCCATCTCAATAGCAATAGGGTATCTAAAATTCGAATTGTTCCAACTCTGTGCAGTAAATTAGAAAATGCAAATGAAATTATCGATTATTATCGATAAGGCAATTTTATAAGTTATCGATCGATTATTATCGATAAGGCAATTTTATAAATTATTGATCGGTTGTTATCGATAAGGAAATTTTTTCGATTATTATCGATAAGGCAATCTTAAAAGTTATCGAAGCGGGCAGACATAGATTAACTCAGTTTATAGCCTTGATCAAGACTGTGTGAACTTTGTCAGCTGTGCCACGCCTCTCTGCACCACCACTTTGAATGGAAGAAAGGGTAGTTGATAGTCGAGCAGGCCCGACGCATTAGCCCACGTGCTGTTTTCTGCCTGTGTGCGCAGTTTTCAGTCCAGACTTATGTTTTGGTCGACTTCTTTGCTGCTGGCTTTTATAGCCACCTCTGTATATCTTACTGATTATGCGAGTATATCATGTCTTACCTTAGCAACTAGTGCTAATCTAATCAGTGCTTTGTCTTCAACTGACCTCACATCAAACATCACAGATAACAACTGAAAGTTCGCCAAGTAGACAAACACCTTTGCGGAGCATACGAAATATGATAGAGAAGCAATTGAGCAATTGGAGCTGGCATATTGCGAAGTAGCTGAGCGAGAGAGCTATGTGCCATTACAGGGTATGTAGCAGAGGAAGCGACTGCACGAAACTGCGAGTACTACGATATGAAAGAAGGAACCACAACCACAGAGCTGAAGACCCAAGTTGAGTTCAAATATTACACAATGCGAGAGAGCAGCAATTGGTAAATTGGTCATTGCACCCGCTGTGGGCGAAACCGTTTCGCTGGGTCAGCAGCTTGTGCAATGGCTTAGAGCTCGGACTTGGCCTCGTAGGGCAATTCAGTTCGATTGAAGGCAGCGAGTGGAGCTGGCGGCGCACGATGACGGCTGTGAATACGTTTGTTACCATGTGGCGGTTCCTGCTGACGCTGGGCCCCTCGGCTATGGTGATTGTTCTGCTGAACAAGGGCATCAAGGACTACCGGCCGGATATTGTGGACGATCGGCAGCGCGTCCACTCCATATACATTGATCAGCTGCGGCCCAGCTACGATTTCATCGTTGTGGGTGGCGGCTCGGCGGGCTGTGTGCTGGCGGCGCGTCTCTCAGAGAATCCGGCGTGGAGCGTGCTACTGCTGGAGGCAGGTGGCGATGAGCCGCTCCTCATGGATCTGCCGCAAATGTATCCGGTCTTTCAGCGCAGTCCCTGGGACTGGAAGTACCTGACGGAGCACTCGGACCGCTACTGCCTGGCCATGGAGGAGCAGCAGTGCTTCTGGCCGCGCGGCAAGGTGCTCGGCGGCTGCAGCTCCATCAATGCGATGATGTATGTGCGCGGCAATCGCCGCGACTATGATCACTGGGCCGGGCAGCTGGGCAATCCGGGCTGGGAGTACAACAACGTTCTGCACTACTTTCGCAAGGCGGAGGATATGCGTGTGCCCGGCTACGAGCGTAATCCATATCATGGCCATGGTGGACCCATCAGCGTGGAGCGCTACAGATCCCCCTCGCTGCTGTTGGACGTGTTTATGGAGGCCGCAGCACAGCTGGGCCTCACACATCCCGATGGCGATTTCAATGGCCGCACCCAAATGGGCTTTGCCCCACCCCACGGCACGCTGCGAAACGGACTGCGCTGCAGCGCCAACAAGGGCTACATGCGTCGTAGCTGGCAGCGACCCAATCTGGACATTGTCTTGAAGGCCTTCGTGGAGCGGCTGCACATTGAGCCGGGCAGCAGGCGCGTGCTGGGAGTCAGTTTCGAGCACGACCTAGTCCGGTATCAGGTGCTGGCCGCTAAAGAGGTTCTGCTGGCTGCCGGTTCCCTGGCCAGTCCCCAGCTGCTAATGGTCAGCGGCGTGGGACCCGCCGAGCAGCTGCAGCCGCTTGGCATACCGCTGGTGCAGCATCTGCCTGGAGTGGGGCGCAATCTGCAGGATCACATCTCCACCTCGGGCGCCATCTACACCTTCAATAGCCCCCAGCCGGGCAGCCACATGTCCTTTATAGTGCCCGACCTGCTGAACGAGGAGTCCGTGCAGGATTTCCTACACGAGCACAAGGGCTTCTTCTATGCGATGCCCGTTAGCGAGGTGATGGGCTTTGTCAGCACTCGGTTTCAGGTGCCGCGAGATGCGAACTGGCCAGACGTCCAACTCTTCCTGGGCAGCTATGGCTACGGCGCCGACGGCGGCATGATTGGCCGACGAGGCGCGGCCATCACGCTGGACAATTATGCGAACAGCTTTGAGCCCATCATTTATCAGGACTCCTTTGTGATTGCCCCGCTAGTGATGCGTCCACGCTCGCGTGGCTATCTCCAACTGCGCTCTGCTGATCCCCGCGTGCATCCGCTCATACATGCCAACTACTACGACGATCCACTGGATATGGCCGTCATGGTTGAGGGCCTCAAACTGGCGCATCGTCTCACCCAGACGCCGGCAATGCAGCGGCTCAATGCCACGTTGAACATCTACGAATGGCGCAACTGCCCGGAGGTGGAGTACCTGAGCGATGCGTTTTGGGAGTGCCTGGCCAGGTACTATTCGCAGACGATTTACCATCCCGTCGGCACCTGCAAAATGGCACCGGTTGAGGACCCCCTGGGTGTTGTGGATCCGCGTTTGCGTGTCCGTGGTCTGCGCGGTCTGCGGGTCATCGATGCCAGCATCATGCCAACGATTCCCACCGGCAACACGAATGCGCCCACGCTGATGATCGCGGAGCGCGGCGCAGACATGATCAAGGAGGACTGGCATCATTACCCACACGGCGGTTGGCTCTAGGCCGTCAGCTGGTCAACTACCTGCCACACAGGCTAAGCTAAAAGTCAGCTGTAAGCTCTTAAATAAATGTGAATAGAAGACTAGAGCGGACAGCTTGTCGCAGTGGAAAGACCTTTGCCCGGAAGGAACACTCTTCTGATCGTGTTTTTCTTGATCCGGTTAGTTCCATGACCAATGCAAGGTCTGATGAGATCAGCTCTAGGAGCAACGCTCAAGAAATAACTGAAGCTTATTTAGGTTTTATCAATTGTCAATCAAACTGATCGAGAGATCGAGATTGCCTTCGTGACAAAGTCATGAAAGCCAGCCTCACGTTACAATAGAAACGAATCGAAACAAATTTTGGCCAAGCGAAGGTTAAAAACTTATTTTCAACTGTGCCAAATGCGGGTCAACAATAGCTGAGCCATGGGTCAATGGCTAGGGGTCAGCAGGGGCTGACAGCTGCAGCCTTGTGCCATTGGCAGCTGCAAATCTTGACGTGCCAACAGCAAGATCTCTGCTTCTTCCCAGTTCCCATTGCAGAATTTATAGGAAAAAACTTAGCTCGTGAATGGGAAACCTGATTTTGGCTTTGTAACTGGCCGAGCATAAAGCGAGGCGCGGGGGCGTTCGAATTGAAAGATCGATCAAAGCTATTCGTGCATAATTGAGCTGGAAATGTTAGGCAGCAACAGTTGCTGTGGCAGTTGTTGCAACTGTTGCTCTGATTGTGCGATTGTTGTTGCTGTTGCTGTGGTTCCTGTTGCCAGCGAACTGTTCATTGCTGCTGCTCCTGTCCTCTGCCGCTGCAGCTCTTAGAATCAATCGCCGTTGGCTGGCTTGTTGCAGCTGCCGTTGACATTTCCCAGCTAATTCTGGCGGCATTGACAGCAGGCGCCAGCAATTGTTGCTGTTTGTGCTGTGGCCGCTGCTGTTTTGGCGAATTTGTCGTGTTGTATGAGCGGGCGCTGAACCAAATGGCAAACGCGACAAGTTATACCAGTTTGCCTCACACACACACACACACACACACCAAGTGCTCGCTGCGCTGAAGTTTTCAAAAAGGTTTCCGAGATTTTCTTACGGGCCAGTTCACGACATCCGCTGCTAACAAAATGACGCGAACCAAGCAGCTCCAGAACCAGCACCAGCTGCACCACCAGCACCACCAGCTGCATTTGCTGCTGCTGCTGTTCGGCTTACTGCAAGTGCTGCCCGCAATAGCTGCGCTGCCGCAGCAACCATTGCTGCTGGAGGCCTCGCCCTCGGAGCAGGCGACGACTGCAACAGCGCCCGCGCTCAACGATCCTTCGGGTGAGTTTCGCTGCCCGCCTACGAGTATCTGCACCTAGCCAGTTACAACTTCGGATCCCCTTGCAGATCTCAGCGCTGGGCTCAATCTCTTGCCCGTGAGCAATTGGATTGCTGCTGCCGCCAACGTGGAGCCGCCCGCGCCCGTTCAGTTTATTCGCATCGCCATGAACAGTGGCCTGTGAGACGCCGACAGATGGCGCCAGCTCAACATAAAATACCCAATTAATTTAATATCCTTTGTTTGTTGGTTACATTTATATATATATATACTGTATATACACTTTTTTTTAATACCCTGTAATTAGGTATAGGCTGCAAAAGGGTGCAATAAACTTGTGCATAGTGAGAAGCGAGCTGACTCGACTCGGCCTCTTATCTGTTCTGTTCGACTATAAAGTATCTCAAGCTCTTGAGCTCTTTATCAGCCAGCCATAGAAGACTTTTATGAGTCTATTAAAATTCAGCTAAATTCGAGCAGAATTTTCAAGACTTTTGTAACAAGTTAGACGAAAGCAGATAAGGCAAGTAAACCAGGTCAATACTTCTAGTAAGCAGGATATATAAAGCGCTTATTAACGTAGAATTGAGGGAGATTTACTTTAACAGATATCCTACATTAAGATTTATATTTTTTATATTAACACATCTTCAATCATGGATTAAATCAACTTTTGAATTTGCATAGATTTGAGTCAATGAGCTTAGTGCTCTTGGCCATTTAGCACAGCCTTGCAGAGGGCATCTACACGCACGTGATACCCTATCTGTTGTGTAGCTAAGCTGGCCGCGCTGACTCGCTGCTTAAAAATGCGGTTCAATTGTGGCAGGCGCCGTTTATAGCAATTATCAGACAAAAACTTTAATCGGTCAACGAGCAAATGAAAAACTTGCATTTGCCATTTGCCATTTGCCATTGGCCGTTCGTATGGCCGTTTAGAGAGTGTCTGTCCTCGGTCGACATTGTCACTGGGGTCTGGCTGGCAGCTGCACTAATTCGAGCGCGTTTAGTTCAATTTCCCACAAGTTGATAATAATTCCTATATAGACTGCACGAATGACTCTGAATTCGAGGCGCATAAATCACGCAGATTACAATGCGAAGGTGTTTTCCACGTCTTTGCTCTACAGCCAGGTCAGTTCTGGCTGACGTCGAATAAACCAGTTGCAGTCGCTGCCTATCGAGGCGCAGCTCTTCTTTAGAGCAGCTCAAGTTTTATGGGAACTTCACTTTATACATTTATATAAATTTATATAAATTTACTTGCTATATTTTTTTTAGTCTTTTGTGGTCCTGGAACTCCAAGGAACTGATTGAAGATTTATTTAAGCACTCAATCGTATCACATTAAGACGTGTGAATGCTCTACCAAAAGAGCCTTAGCCTCAGCTGCACACGTTCTCGATTGAGACGTTTACGTAAACGGGTTCATTAAAAGCTGAAGCTTATTTTAAGCCTGTTTCGATTAGGGCTCAGCTGATTTGTTAAACAAACAAACAAATCATTGCAGCTAGAAGACTAAAGATTTGAAATGAAATAAGCTAAAAACGAAGCCTTGGCCTAAGTGTAGTCACTGCAAGTTGCCTAGATTTTACTTAGGATTTCTATAACACCTCAAAGGAAGTTTGTGATCTGAGCTGGACAGCTGAAAATTTCATGAAAATTTAAATGAAATGAGCAAAAGACGAAGCCTTGGCCTAAGTGAAGTTACTGCAAGTTGCCTAGATTTTACTTAGGATTTCTATAACACCTCAAAGGAAGTTTGTGATCTGAGCTGGACAGCTGAAAATTTCATGAAAATTTAAATTAAATAAGCTAAAGACGAAGCCTTGGCCTAAGTGAAGTTACTTTAAGTTGCCTAGATTTTACTTAGGATTTCTATAACACCTCAAAGGAAGTTTGTGATCTGAGCTGGACAACTGACAATTTGAAGTTCAGGTCATGCTATAATCTTAGCATCCCATAGAGATTGCAATTGAGTAATGTTTTTCTGGTATAAATAGCGTCACACATAAGTCAAGTAATCAAGTGAGCGTTGCAGTTGCGTGATTAATAAAAAAAGTGGCATTTGGCAGGCTTATTCATATAAAATATAGCAATTAATCATTTACTGTACAAATCTGAGTTGCGTAAAAGTTCAAAGAGCTCGCTAAGTGAGGCCATGAGTGTCACATCTCTGGATTACAACTAAAGGCTGTGCGATGACTTCGAGATATGTGATATATCAGTTATCAGTTAAGATGTGTAACTCTTCAACTGCTTGCCTTTAGGCTATGTGATATATATATTATATATATGGGATATTTGTCAACTAGAGACCCATCACTAGTTACAGGCGCGCAGCTCTTGGCATTTGTCTTCAGTCAGTCAATCAGCTGATTGAACTGATTTGCTGTAAGCGTAGCTGGACGTATACTGGGTCGCTGCACTGTCAAGCTGTTACAGATGACGCAGCTCGGACTCGATTGTTGTTTGCTCGTTCTCGCTGCCTTTTGTCAACAAAAGGCAAGTTTGCTGTAATCGCTGCCTAGGCGTAACGCAGTCAGTCAGTCAGTCAGTCAACTTTGAGCTTATCGCTTCTATAAAAGCGACTTACAGACGCTGGCGTCGCCTCAATTCAGCTAACATCGAAATGCTGGCCACAAGCACAGCGAACCAGAGCTTCGGCTTGAGTCCCGGGGATGTGCAGTGCACGCCGAACGGCATTGGCATCTGGAGCGGAATGGTACAAATGCTGCTCCAAGCGCTGCTCACAGCCCAGTGCAATGTCGCACCCACGTCCCTTTGGCCGCCGGACCATGGCCAACTGCTGCTGGCCGAAGACCAAGCCCACCAAGAGCCCTATGACTTTGTCGTCATTGGCGCCGGCTCCGCGGGCTCCGTCATCGCCAGCCGGCTCAGCGAGAATCCCAATTGGCGTGTGCTCGTCCTAGAGGCGGGCGGCGATCCGCCCGTCGAATCCGAGGTAAGCATCAAAGTTCAAAATCCACTAAGAAAACCCTAGGCACCGTTGACCTCTAGCACTGAATGCTTGAAAGGAAATAAAAATCTATAGTATCTAAGGGTGTAGCAAGTGCATCAATATTTAGATGTCATTCATGATTAGCTAAATGTGCAAATTAATATTATATTTGCTTGGGCATAGAGTGTCATTTACTTCAATATATATATATATATATATATATATATATATATATACGAACTCATATAGAAACCTTCTGAAATACAGCGAGTTAACGAGTGTTTCAAGCATATCGATATAAGCTTAGCTCAAGTATAGTCTTATATATATATATATATATATATATACATACATATATTTGCAGCTAATCTTAACTGCATCAAGCTTAGAGATTTAAATATCTGCTCATTGATATGGACATTAGAAAATATATAGCAAACGCTTGTAGAAATCTTGGATTGCCAAAATACATAAAATGAAGATAAGTGATTTCACTTATCTAAATAAATATTCCAACAGTTCTCAAGGAATTCAAGTCATTCCATTTGTAATTTTCCAATGGTTGAAAACAAGTCACTTTAGATAAGTTAAATATTCAACTGATTAGAAACAGAAAGAAAACAAAAACAATTCTTAACGTGACTTCAGCAAATATTTTGCCAGTTAGGTTTAGGTAATGGGCTGCTCAGTTAACCATAAAGCGACAGACATTAAATAAGACCTCGATAGGATATCTACGAGGCAAGCATGTAAAATGTTCGCTGCATGATCAGCTATCTTAGATTTACGATCAATGATTTGCCAACTACGAAAAGATTAGTATAAATAAAAGATTGACAGAGTTTGCTTGAATAACTTCTGTGCGAACTGACGGAATTCAGAGAAATATTCAATAATGAAAGCTGTTCCATGGATTATGTAATAATTAAATAGGACAGCCTCTAGAATATGAACTTTATTTGCAATTGAACTTTGATTCATTTCATGCTGTGGGCTTGGGAAAAATTAAAAAAAAATTGAGATATCAGGAAAAGGGCAAAAGGTATTGATTATTTGGAACAGACTTAATCTAGATATGCTACAAGTTGATTTTTCTATAAGAGCTTTTCTCTAGTCGATTATTTGGAACAGACTTAACACAAGGCGACTTTCCTCTAAGACTTTTCTCTAGTCATTATAGTTTTCCAGTTAAACATAGCAGGCAGAAGGTCGAGCTTGACGACTTTGTGGGCTCGACCATGCCCACTCGGATGAAATCGTTTGATGTTAGAACAATAATTGAGACTATGATTTATATACTTCTCCAACTCTATCTCTGCGCGCACAGCTGCCGGGATTGTTGTTTGGACTGGAGTTCTCGGAGTTCATGTGGAACTACAAGACAGAGAACAGCGGCACAGCATGCCAGGCGCAGCAGAATGGACAGTGCTATTGGCCACGCGGTCGTATGCTCGGCGGCACAGGAGCGGCCAATGCGATGCTCTACGTAAGAGGCAATCGGCGCGACTTTGACCACTGGGCGGAGCTGGGCAACGAGGGCTGGAGCTATGACGAAGTGCTGCCATACTTTGAGCGCTCGGTGCGCCCGGCGGGCAATGCGACTCATCCACAGGGCTATGTGACGCTGAACCCGTTCGAGCTGCAGCACGAGGACATACAGAATATGATACGCGCCGGCGGCCAGGAGCTGGGCGTGCCCAGTGTGGCAGACTTTGTCGAAGGCAGCTTCGTGGGCTACGCCTCTGTGCAGGGCACGGTGCGGCACGGACATCGCATGAGTCCCGCCAAGGGACATTTGTCGAAAATCGCGGAGCGCCCCAATCTGCATGTGGTGAAGCGGGCGCAGGTGACCCAGCTGCATTTCGATGCAGCTGCCGAGCGCCTGGAGGCCATTAGCTTTGTGCGGGACGAGCGCACCTATCGCATTGGCGTGGCCAAGGAGGCAATACTGTCAGCGGGCGCCATCAACTCGCCGGCGCTGCTCATGCGCTCGGGCATCGGGCCACGCGAGCATCTGGAGCAACTGCAGTTGCCTGTGGTGCAGGACCTGCCTGGCGTGGGCGCCAATCTGCAGGATCATGTGGTCGTGCCGCTCTTCATCCAGCTGGACGCCGGCGTGGCCAAGGCAGCCAGCCAGCAGGATATACTGGACGACATCTATGAATATCTGACACAACACAGCGGCACACTCGCCGCCCATGGCACCGCGTCGTTGGTGGGCTTCGTCAACTCGAACAGCAGCAGCGATGCTCGCTATCCGGACTTGGAGTTTCACCATCTGTTCTTTCAACGCGGCCGCCACGATAGCCTGAAGCTGTTCCTGCATGGACTCTCCCTGCAGCAGCGCTATGTGCAGCACTTGCAGAGTCAGCTAAGAGACTCCCATTTGCTTTGCATCTTTGTGCTGCTCGCCCAGCCCCTGTCCGCGGGCAGAGTACGCCTGCAGAGCACGGACTACCAGAAGCCGCCGCAGCTGTTTAGCAACTATTTGGCTGAGTCAGTGGATGTGGAGACGCTGCTGCGCGGCATACGACATCAGGAGGCAATGGTGAAGACGCAGTCCTACAGGCAGCACAGCGCCCAGCTGATGCACATGCCCATCGAGGAGTGCGACGGAGCCTCGAGCGAGTACGCCAGCGATGACTACTGGCGTTGCTATGCCAAGTACTTCACCACCACCTGCTACCACCAGACGAGCACCGTCAAGATGGGCCCCGCTTCAGATCCAGCCGCCTGTGTCAACCCACGCCTGCAGCTGCGCGGCATCTCCAATCTGCGTGTGGCCGATGCTAGCGTCATGCCCGCCGTGGTCAGCGCCAACACGAATGCCGCCACGGTCATGATTGGCGAGCGAGCAGCGGACTTTATTGCCCAGCACTGGACGAAGCCGACACAGCAAGCGCATTTGCACGAGGACATGTAGACTGCACGGGGTCAGCTGGTGCCTCAACTCTGATACACATTTAAATAAAGTCTATAAATATTTGCCTTATGAACCCGTTCAGTATTATTTACTGCGTAGCCAGTTAGAAGACAAACAGTTCCATCAATCCATTTAGTATTCCGCTTAGTAGACGCACAAGAATTGATTATTGCGCTTTATGTTTTGCTTGGTGACTTCGCCTCACAGTCGATTGAACTATATAAAACCAACTGAGTGTAAGCAATATGCACATTAATGGATGTTCCTATGATTTGCCTATTGATCAGTTCAAGCTAAGTGTCGAGCAAGTGAATCACGTCACATCGCGGCCTGTTGCTCAATGAGCTCTATGCTCGCTTATCTGTTGTCTAAGCTCAGCCAGATACACTTAAACAAAAGATTAGGTATATATATATCAATTTATATGTCTCATTTAATGGCACTCATATCAGGTTATAAAAACTAGACACACCACATTTCGGTATGCAAATTCTTGTGGCACAGTCACAATACCAAAATTAGTTTATTTCCAAGTCAGCTTTAGCTGCTTTTGTTGGCCCGCTTCATATGTTAGCGATAAATCGAACACATATAATATTAATGAGATAAAGAGCGCCAAGAGTCTACTATAAACGTTTATCAGCAAGCATAAATATTACAGGGTATCCAGACTAGGCAAGCTCGACTAGTCGAAGACAGCAGCAGCTGTTTACTCTACAAGGCATTTGAAAATAGAAATATATAAATAGAGGTGCGGAGCAGAGCGAGCCAGAGGGAGAGAGAGAGAGAGGCAGGCGCACCTGGCAGAGTGCCCGTCGCTTCGTGTTGACCGAACCCAGGTATGCCGCTTTTCCTGTTGACGGCAATTGCGAGATGCCTCGCCCGTGAGCATGGCTCGCCCACCCGCTATAGAGCACACAAATATGTTTGGCTTATCGGAGGCGACTTATCAACGTAAGAGAGACTAAGAGTGAGAGTGAGAGAGGGAGAGGGAGAGGCGGAGACAGAGACCTGGATGAATTGCCTTGTTAAGTGCGATCATAAAAAACGATTTGGGGGCCCGACAATTGAATGGGCCAGCGTAGCTTATCAAGAGCCGTCCGCTTAGTAGTTCGCAGTCGTAGTTTAGGCTTCGCCTTAGCTCTGGCTGCACCTGCTCTCGAATGTCACATATAATCTCTGCAGCAGTGATAAAGGCGCGTCCGGCAGAGCTCGCTCCGTTCTATGTATAAGCACACACTCACACGCACACACACGCACATCACCTATACGAATTGTGGTCTATTTGCAATGCAAATGGCGCAGGTAATTTACGGCGACGCGAGCGGCATGCGAATGCCTGGTGGCTCGAGACCGTACAAATGCCGGCGGCCGGCTCTGTCCGGTGAACAGTAGCGCACGGACAGCGCCACTGACCAGGCGTCGATAGGCCTTCGAAGTTTGATATCAGTGCGAGATATGGAGTTCCTAAGCGCCGAGTGTGCTGCTAGATCGGCGGGACCAGCAAACACGCTGATGTCGCTGCTGCTGCATACGCTGATTTCCAAATATTGTGATCTTAGTGGGCAAAACCAGTGGCCGCCAGATCGCGGCGATTGGCTGGATAATGCTGGCGGCTTCGATGAACCGTACGATTTCGTTGTGGTGGGTGCGGGCAGTGCGGGTGCCGTCGTAGCTGGTCGGCTAGCGGAGCAAACGAATTGGCGCGTCCTGCTGCTGGAGGCAGGCGGCGATCCGCCGATCGAAACGGAATTTGTCGCCTGGCACATGGCCACACAGTTCTCCGAATGGGACTGGCAGTATCATACGCAGCCGAATGGACGTGCCTGCATGGCCATGCTCGGCGAGAGCTGCCATTGGCCGCGCGGTAAGATGCTGGGCGGCACGAACGGCATGAACGCTATGATCTATGCGCGCGGCACACGCACCGATTTCGATGACTGGGAAGAACGCGGTAATCCGGGCTGGGGCTACGACGAGGTGCTCAAGCATTTCCGCAAGGCGGAAGATCTGCGCTCCACACGGCCAGACTATAAGCCCGGCGATCATGGCGTTGGTGGACCCATGGGCCTCAACAACTACGTCTCGGACAATGAGTTCCGCTCGACCATACGAGCGGGCATGCTCGAGATGGGCTACGGCAGTGCGCCGGACTTTACGGAGGGCTCGTTTGTCGGCCAAATGGATATATTGGGCACTCAGGATGGCGGACGTCGCATAACCACCGCCCGCTCTCATCTCCACAAGGACACGCCCAATCTGCATATTGTGCGACACGCACACGTCAAGCGCCTCAACCTGGACAGCAAGAAGAGAGCCGAGAGCGTCACCTTCGTGCATCGCGGCGAAAAGGAGTACACGGTGCGTGCCAGCAAGGAGATTATCCTCTCGGCGGGTGCCATTGGCAGTCCACAGATTCTATTGCTCTCAGGTAGGTGAAACGGGTCATAGCAACTGCCCAAGGTTTGACAAGGTCAAGCTAATCGCTACTCCCTTTTCCTCTCTTTAATCTTTGCCCAGCCCCGATAAGATAGCCAAAAGCTATGCAAAAATATAAAACAAGTGAATTGTTTGAGGCTTTTATGGTCGAGATAAAGCTATCCGATAGTTGCATATTCTCATGTTGTTCGCTTTATGAAACACTCTTGCAGCACTGAGCTCTGCGATTAGTTTTATAACATCCTCGACTAATATAAAATAAGCCTTCGTTTGTAATCCACAAATATTGGGTTACCCGTAAACACTGTCAGGCTGTCTATGGCTTTTATCTACTCTTTAAGCTTTGACCATGTAAACGCTTTCTGTCTCTGTTGCTATGAAGGCCTTCTCACTTCTTAATTCATTTTTATTCTGTTGCCATAGGCATTGGCCCTGCTGAGCATCTGAGAAGCGTTGGTGTGCCCGTTAAGCTGGATCTACCCGTGGGTCGCAACCTGAAGGATCACGCCAGTTTGCCCGTAATCTTCCAGATCGACAAGTCGACGGCCCGCAAGCCCACTGAGGAGGAGCTGGTGGATGCCATGTTCAACCTGCTGATGGGTCGCTACAGCAAGCTGTTGCATCACGAGGCAACTGCACTGACGGGCTTCATCAACACCACCTCGTTGCATGGTCCCAATCCGGACATACAGACAACCAATTTCTTCAGTCTGATGCAGAGTCCGGAACTGCGTGGCTATGTGAAGGCCACCGGATTCAATGATCGTGTGGCCAAGAGCATTTTGGCCGCCAACGAAAAGTCCAATACGTACATCACCTACCTGCTGCACCTGAAGCCTTTCTCGGCGGGCCGCCTGGAGCTGCAGAGCGGCGACTTCTTAGATCCACCACTCATTGATCCAGGCTACATGACCGACGATCGCGATGTGGAGACCTATATACGCGCCCTCAACATCTACAAGCGGCTGCCGGAGACGCGAGCCTTTGGCGAACGCGAGGCAGCCCTACACAAGGTCGATCTGGAGGCCTGCAACGGCCTGGCCTATCAGTCGGACGACTATTGGCGCTGCTACATACGCCACATGACCACCACCGTCTACCATCCAGTCGGTACGGCTCGCATGGGACCCGCCAGCGATCCCACGGCCGTAGTCGATGCCCGTCTCCGCGTGCATGGCGCCAGTGGACTCCGAGTAATCGATGCCAGCATTATGCCCGACATTGTCGGCGCGAATACGAATGCTGCTTGCATTATGATTGGTGAGAAGGGCGCCGATATGATCAAGGAGGACTACCTGGGCGCCAGCCAGCACACGGAGCTATGAGTCCCTTCATAACTGAACAAACGAGAGCTACAATGCATACTCCATCCATTTAGCAGATTATGTATAAATGATCTTCTTTATTTTTTTTTCTTCTTCTTAATTCTTTAGTTAGTCAATAAAGCGAGCACGTTTCAAAAATGGTATTCGATTGTATATTTCGTAGCGCCCAGTGCATGTCAAACGTGATCGCACTAAGTGGTTTAGAGCTGCGTTAAGCTTTTAAGCTTTCAAAGCTCTTCGTACTGTAATTAAAGCACACAACGTTCGCAGAGCAGTACGCCCAAAACTGTGAAAGCATTTGACGCTACAGTTTTAAGCGCACTGGAGACTGTTCAGTAGCCGAAAGACTGATCTACAGTCACTGCCAAACTCAAAGCTGAACAGATACTGGAAAATTTAAGAGTAAGCTCATTGTGGTCAGGCGAGCTCGTCTTTATGATACTCTCTCAACTTCAGGTAAGATCGATGTCGCCGATGGGAGGAACTTCTAAGAATATCTTAGTGATCCATCAGTTAATCAGTGATCAGAGATCAGAGATCAGTGATCAGAGATCAGAGATCAGTGGTCAGAGATCAGTGATCAGAGATCAGTGATCAGAGATTAGTGATCAGAGATCAGAGATCAGAGATCAGTGATCAGTGATCAGAGATCAGTGATCAGAGATCAGTGATCAGAGATCAGTGATCAGAGATCAGTGATCAGAGATCAGTGATCAGAGATCAGTGATCAGAGATCAGTGATCAGAGATCAGTGATCAGAGATCAGTGATCAGAGATCAGTGATCAGAGATCAGAGATCAGTGATCAGTGATCAGAGATCAGTGATCAGAGATCAGTGATCAGAGATCAGTGATCAGAGATTAGTGATCAGAGATCAGAGATCAGAGATCAGTGATCAGAGATCAGTGATCAGAGATCAGTGATCAGAGATTAGTGATCAGAGATCAGTGATCAGAGATCAGTGATCAGAGATCAGTGATCAGAGATCAGTGATCAGAGATCAGTGATCAGAGATCAGTGATCAGAGATCAGTGATCAGAGATCAGTGATCAGAGATCAGTGATCAATAATTACCTAAGATATAATAAATGCCAATTTACTATGTCCCAGGCGCAACAATAAGTTAATGATCCACACAATCATTCAGGATGCTAAATCTCCACCTTCAAAAAAGGAAATGCGAAAGGCTTTGTGATCAGGCATCAACCCACATGCTCCTTGTGCCTCGTGAAAGAAGATAAACAGAGCCATGGGCCCTATAACAGGTAAGAGCTCCATATCCATCGCTCTCAAACTCCATTATGCCTTGTGATCAGTCTCTCAAGCACTAGGATCAGTCAGTGCGTCTTACAAATGAGTGGGATGGAGAAATAAACGTTGCGTTCCTTGAGGAGCTGCAGAATTGAGGCAGCACTCAGTTTTCAAATAGAACAAATTTGTATGGATCAAAGCAGGCGAAATTACAGCCAGAGGCTGGTGAGTCTAGACGAGTAATGTAAAGCGTTTATTCAGTTATAGAGCTCCGCAGTGCTCACATCTTAAAACAGTTAAATTTCACGTGTATCAAAATTTAAAATTCGAAAAGAATGTAGACCGGAATAGTCGGATGTTTCGCTAAATTTTGTCTGTTAAGATGTCTCGGTAAAAGTTTTAAGATGTTTCAATTATTTTTTTTTTGTTTTGTTTTTGGCTAGCAGCAACAACAGGAACATCAGAAACAGCTAAACAAGTTACACGTGATATAATCTACACTAAGAATGTTTTTGTTTTCCTTTTGCTGGCCTTGCAAGTTTCAAGATGAGTTAACATTTCTTCGCGAGAATCAAATTCAGAATTTTTCCTCATCAAAGCCAAGGTATGTCCAGAGTTGTACCGGCAAATACAAACGTATTCCTATGCGAGGTCAATCGCCGTAGACCTTTGGTGACTTTCTTTTACCTTGCTGTTTGAAGCGAATTATTTATGCTTAGTTTGTTGTTAGGACTAAAGCCGGCTCAACCCGTTTCTCTTTGCAGTTTTTTACGTGAACATCTAGCTGGAATGGATTAACGTTTTTAAGTTAAAACGGTGAAATTGGGTTTGGAGCAAGGTCCGAGGACACAAAAGATCCTTGTGTTTGCTCTGATAATTCAATTGCAATTGCTTTAAAAATGATACACTCAAATTTTATTGCTCTATATATTATACACAAATGGAAACCGGAAACTAATTCGTAGATTTTCGATCATCCATATATTATATTTGTTCTGACAACACTTACATCGTTTTTGAGGCAAGGAGGCTGCCAATCATCAATTTATTTGTTTTCATTTCATTTTCTACACCAAACACTGACTAAAATAGTGAGTATTTCTGCAGTAAGTCCAGTTGCATCGATACTAAATTATTTTGTTGATAGGATCTAACCACACGCAAGAACCTGGCACTTGTGTGTGCTTTCAAGGGAGATTCAACAAATTCAACAAATTAAGCAAACTCAACGAATTCAACTTAATCGAATTGTTGCGATTGAATATTAAATTTATTTATAAGGCCGGGGAGCAAGGTCCGAGGAGATCCCCTCCTTGTGTTTGCCCTCGTTTCATGCAGAAGTGACAATTATATGAATACATAGTTATTAATCTCAAATATATATATATATATATATTGTATACATATATATCATATACATATATATATATAAAACATATTATATATATATACAACTCGACAAACCTTAACAAAACAAGAACGACAGTCAAGAATCACAAAAAAAAAACTAGGAAAAACATGCAACCCCAACACACGGATCGCAAGCCGTCAATAATCAAGTAGTGAGATTCTTGATATTGGAGACTTGACATTGATGTAAGCTACCACTAGCTGGGCGTAGCTTGAAAGTAAATTCTTAATTCTCTTCCCCGCCTCCAGGTAATTTTTGTAATTAGCAAAAAATATTCGAAGAATCTCACGCTGGTGGACACAGGCATACTTTAAGTTAAGTTAACAGCAGCAGTAGCTGCAGCCCACATGTAGGATCACTGGCATCAATTTAAATACTTTTCTAAATTTATACCTACAAATGTCAATACATAAACGTAATATCTGATATAAGCGCTTTTTTACTGGGTCTGGGGCATAACTTTTGCCAATTGATTGATCGCTTTCACTTTTTGCCCCATCAATTAGTGGTCGCGGCCAAATTTTGGCTCATTTTTATGCCGCACAGCAAGACCCAGTCCGAACACCCATGCATACAAACCGATGGCAATTAATCGGTGGGTCGTACACGAGTGCACCTAGCGACACGCTTCACAAGAGTGTCCCACGCGCCAAAGCGACTGCGGCTCCAGCTGTGAACAGTCGGGGAACATTGAACAACTTGTCACTTGTTGTCTTACAGTTGTATTGCAGCTAACTGAGTAGTGATTCATGATTGGTGCGCTTGAAGAGATTGCCTACAATTGAGCTCCAGGCAGATGATTCAAAGTTTGCTCGCATGGAAATTAATTGAAATCGAAACTGGAATTTTATAGCTTCCATAAATGAGATAATAAATTCTATATATTTTCCTTCAACTTAACCTGGGCAGCTTCCACCCCAGCCATTACTTAATCTGAGCCACTCCCAGGCTGCTGGAGTGGGTTGGTGCAATGCTTGCACTTGGTCCAGAGACTTGCTAGCAGATGCGTAAGGTACTACGAAATGGAGCTGTTTGGTACGCAATGAGAGATCCATCTGAGATGCGTTACGCTGATTTGACACTGAATTACGAGCGAGCGGGGCAACGATGACGAGCACAAATGCATTTACAGGCGTTTAGGCAACAGATTAGATGATAGATGTCAGCCCAGAGCTACCTGTTGCCACAGCAGCTGTCTGCTGTGCGTGAGTGTGTGTCCGTGGGGTAATCCACATGTGAGTACATGCGTGTATCTTTATCTGACAAATAATATATGAGCTTGTAAGTTAGGTTTTTTGTTTCTTTTGGTATAGGTCACGTAGTGCTCGTGCAATATGCCACGCACCGTTTGGCTTTGTGGTTGGCCTCAGATGCTCACACTTACATATCTATCATACATTGACAGTTACTGAGGCCCTAATACAGTTAGAGATACAGATACATTCGCAGCAGATGCGCAAAAAATGCTTGCGCCAAACATTTGCAATTCATTTGCGATTTCAATCCAATAATAAAAAAAATATATATATATATATATGTACGTATGTATGTATGTATATTAAAGCATTCATTATGTCACCTAAAATTGCTTCTGCCTTAACATAGCTCGCACTGTGCGTCTTTCACTTTTAATTGCCTTTAAGTAAATTTCGGCGTTGATTGGGAAAGTTGACATAGAGCCAAATACAAAACGAGCCGTAAGCACCGGAAATTTGTGCACTTTATTATTATGTGCCGCCTCTAATTGTAGCGGAAGTGCTTTTATATTGGGTCACTTAGCCATCCATCTCGCGCTATGGAAATATTTAGTGCTAGGCCGAGCGATTGCCGAGCAGCGCCATCTGTTGGCATAACATTTCACGCCATTAAATTTGAGGGAAAAAGCCAAAATAAACTTTATGCTTCTCGCACGGTATTTACGCAACTGTGAGTATATATTTAGAAAACAGTTATCTTAACTGAGCAACAATTAAACCTATTTGGTAAATTAGTAAAAGTAATTGCTGTAAGCGAGCCCCGCGCAGCGCCATCTGTTGTATAAAAGTCTAACACAGAATGACAAATCTCGACTTTTTGGGTAACTCTTTAATTGATTGCTTAAGATTATGACTGCGATTATGAAATTCGAGAAACTGATTCAAAAACAGTTTGCAGCTAAGGCATATCAAAATTCCAATTTCAAAAGTCTCAGTCTATTAGTCTATTACCGTTACTTTTATGAGGGCAGCTCGAGAGCAGGTTGCACAACGTCCATACCTCAATGACATCGAGTCGTAAATGGCCCACTTCTCAGCCCTTGACCGTTCTTAGATGGCAATAAACGACTTCACATCTCATTGGAGGGCCCCTCACCGCACGGTCAAGTTGTACAACTTAAAGTTGGTCAACTCTATTTACTTAGTGACGTTTCAGTTTTTTACCGCAGTGCGGACGCGTTAGGCTTTCCCAGCGAAGCCGACACATTTTCGCATGTAAAAGTCACGCACAGCGCGGAAAACCGATTGTCGTCCGACCTTTTGTGACACATAGAAAAACAATTGACCAGGCATCGCCTCGCGCTTTATTGTCGCCGTCTTAATTTGCGGTCATTACATTTTGTTACGTATCTTCTTTGAGGGCAAGCGTGGAGCAGCCTACTTCACAGAGTATGCCGCCCCCTCTTGCCCCTCCTTAAGCCCCACTCCCATGTGTTTTGTTTGCGTAATTGAATTCGATGCGAGTCTTGAGCACTTGATTGACACATGTGCTCGCTGTTAAGCCTCTGCTGGACAGGTGAACTATTACCGTTTACAAGTGGGCGTACGGTACTTTTCCTGTTGAGATGAGACGCTCAATAAAGCAAAGAATGTTAATAGCATGTAGCTCAAAATTCGAGAGGTAAAGAATGCAGAGTGTATAACAGTGTGACATTAACATAACATTTCAAACACTGCTTAACAGCTGCTAGTCGTAACAGCAACGCGCTCTGTTAGCCAGCCATTTGACATACTTGAAACAAGCTGTAAATATATATCATTAAATATGATTAAGTATCATTGATTTGATTCATTCAATTGAATTCACTCCCAGCTGATTGACACACATCAAAATAACTGTTTTCCTGTGGCAATCATTTTGGCAATTGCGCTTAGCATTTAGAACCGGTTTTTGCACTACACATGAGTAAACTATATAATTTTGAGTATTTTTTTTTGTTTTGGTAATTTCTTTAATATAAATACACATATATAGACGCAGTATATAGTTTTTGCATCCGCCCGAAGTAATAAAATTCATTCGATTCCTTATCGCCCGCCTCAGAGTAGGCCAGTGGCTTACGTGAGCGCACACACACAGTCAGCGCCACTCACACACATACGCACAGGCTAGCCGGAGATCGTCGGCTAAGTGCACATAACTGTTAAGTGAGCATGAAGGTCGTTTAGTTAAGTGAAATAAAAAGAGTGAGAGAGTGAAAGAGTGAGAGAGTGAGTGAGTGAGCGAGCGAGTGAGTGAAGTAAGGTAATAAGCGAAAGACGCGAGAAGAAAAACCACAAAACACAAAGCCGAAATGCCCAACGGCAGGCGAGAGCAATGCGGCAGGAGCGCCAAACGGTTACTAAGCGGTTGCCAATCGGTTATGCGCTATGCCATCGCCAGCGACTGCGAATGTGAGTACGAATAGTGAACCGTTTCGCAACAGCTCCCGCAGCAGCAGCTGGCGAAAAGGAGCCACCAAGCTGGAACGCGCGGCCTCACTTCGCTCTCAAATAATGCGTTATGTGTGAGTGTGTGAGTGTGTATTTGTAATTAGAGAGGAGCGCGTGTTTTATGCGAAACCAGATAAATATATCTAGGAATTTCTTTTATATTAAAAAGGGAAAGATAGAGAGAGGGAGAGAGAGATAAAAAAATATACATACATATATATATATATATAGAGAGAGAAAAAGAAAGAGAGAGAGAGAAAGAAAAAGAGAGATAGAAAAAGAAGTAGAAATAATGAAGGAGTGAGAGAAAACATGTGCAAAGCAAGCGAGTGCGAGAGCGAGACAGAAAGAAAAGACGCAGAGTGAGTAATAGAGAGTTAATAGAGAGAAGACAGTTCATATGCTCTGTTCATAACGCTTATTAAGTGCACTAATCGTGTCGTGATTGAATCGTGTCACGCGCTCAGCTTCAGCTCGGCAGCAGAGCAGACGACAGACAGCGCGCGTAGAGCTCCTCAGCTGACGAGCTGGCTCCACAGGGCGAGCGCATGCGCAACCGCTTCAGCCGCTGCTTCAGCTTCAGCTTCAGCGGGCGCTTCGACGGGCTTGCAACAAGAAAAGCGAAGCAGACAAAACGTCGCACACGAGTTGCTTTTGTGGCTCAGAAACGCAGCGGCTGCCAAACGAGTCGGTTGCCTTTTTTCAAAATATTTTTTTTTTGGAAAAAAAAAAACAATTTTTATACGCGACGAGGAATTCAAAGCGAAGACTCGACGCGACCCGCACTACTGTTTATTTATTTCTCGAAAAGAAAACAACAACACTTTTTTTTTTATTATTTTCTGTCGAAGCCTAAATGAAAGTGCAGCAACAATTGTGATTGGTGAACGTGACTCGTGATTTGTGAACGTAAATGAAAGTGTCGAAAAGGTGGATTCTTGAAAAAGAAGATGAAACTGAAGGGCAACACGATGTGCTGAGTGCAAAAGGCGCAAGGGAAGAAAACGCTTAAGGATTTGCACCTGAGCAGAGGCAACAGCTGAAGCGGCATAGACAACTAAACGAGAGAGAGAGAGAGAGAGAGAGATAGAGAGAGTGAAAGAGAGTGAGAGCACGAGAGATCCCTTCAATATGGTTGTTGTGCCCGCTTTAAGCGCCGCCGCCGTCTCGGTGGGCGGGCTGCTCTTCAAGGCGAGCGCCGCCTCTAAGGCGGCTACCGCAGCGGGCGTGGCCGCAGTGGGCGCCTCCAAACTGGGCCTGGGCATCGCAGCTGCCATCAAGCTGACCACCGCTGTGGTGGGCGTCGGCAAGCTGACAATTTTGCCATTCCTGATCGCCGCCATAGCGTACTACAATTACGATCTGTTCGATCCGGAGAATCGGCCGTTTAACGTGCAGCAGGTGGAGCTGGCCTACGATTTCATTATCATTGGCGGCGGCTCGGCGGGCACGGTGCTAGCCTCGCGGCTGTCGGAGGTGCCACACTGGAAGATCCTGCTGCTGGAGGCCGGCGGCCAGGAGACCGAAATATCGGATGTGCCGCTGCTGTCGCTATATTTGCACAAAAGCAAAATGGACTGGAAGTATCGGTAAGTTTGAGGGACGAGCCTTCACAGTGACCCACATCGCACTGAGGGACAGCCCAAACAAACACTAATAATAGTAATAATAAAAAACATCAACAACAACTACGCCAACGACCACAACAATTACTAGCCAAGTACACAATTGTCATTCGGTTTACCACCTTTCGGTCAAGTCAAACAAAACACGCCCCGGAGCTTTGAGTCGCGTCTACTGATGCGTCACACACGTCTAGGTGACTTGCCGATTCCATTTCCATATCAAAATCCAACAATATGTTTTGTGTCGTTGTGAAATGCAAATGGCCAAGAGTCATCCATTCAGAGCAAGTTGTCATTGACTGCGTGTCCATTAGATCTGGTATTTGGATACACTTTTTGCCAAATAATTAAGTGTCTATATTTATTATATTCGGTCCGATTTTAGATGTACTTCAGAGCGATCTTTGCTTATGCGATGTACTAGCTCATGATGCTACCAACGCGTAAGCCTTAGCCCAGCAAAAGTGTTTGGGAGTTTAACTTTGTTATCTTCTTCATATTATCGAATAGGGTCCTTTCAGCTATCGCAAGCCAACTTCAGATATATAGATAAATGACAAAGTAACACTTGATCTACTTTATGCACTTTGAGGTGTCCATTCGAGGAAGTAGATAGACTTGCCGGCTCGCACGAGAAGTTCTACATTGAAAGCTGAGTCTTCGAAACTTTTGAAGTGAGGCAAGGAAAGATTTGAGCCCAGCCCCCAAACAAAAGAGAAAACGAAGTTAAAAAGCCAACCCCAAGGTAAAGAGTTCTATGAACCTGATACAGTAGTTAAATGTTTATAGAGCTATAAAAATAGTTGAATGACAATAATACGAGATCAGTTTAAGCATTAGGCTTGAGCCGAGATATAAACGAAGGAACAAAAGTTTCCTATTAAACAAGGTTAAGGTATTAACCCACTATTGAGCCAAATTACTTCAGAACATATAAATGTGCCTAGAGATACTCATAAATTCATGTTTGACAGGCTAAGTTCATACTTGAAGCTTATAGCAAGAAGCTGCAGATGAAGTCGAGTTCAGTTCGGGGTTGTCTTGAGTTGGTCGGCGATTGAGCTTAGACATCTACGGGCCTGAGCACTCGGTCCCTTGATCAGCTGCCCTCAGGGCAGCTCTATTCAGTTAGCAGCAATCTGTCAAAGTGTTTGGCTTTTTGCGCTCACTTTTCACACGCAAACGACAAATGGATTTTGATGGGGAAAGACTTTGTCTATAGACGACTTTAATTTGTGCTGCACAGCCACAGCGGACAATGGCGATTTTTGCATTGGATAATGCATGCATAATGTGCACAGCACAAGTTGTAAAGAGATTGCACTGTACAGTGTGCACATTGTGTAACGAACAAAGCGACTATCATATTTTGCAGACATACATACAATATGCATAATAGTAAGAGGTTTATGCATTTCAGATCTGGCGCTAGTTCATATTGATCTTAAGACTCAGATTCTTTCTCTTTGAGTGCGGGGCACGTAGAGCTTAGCTCTGTTCCAATTAATTTGGTAGCTTTACGTAAATATCGAGCAAGACTTGGACAGCTCGACACGTGACATAGGAAATCTATGGAAAACATATAGCGAAAACTATATACCCTTGCAGACATGGGGCTGTTTGTTGAGCGAGTGCTGCGACTTTTCTTTCGATTCACTTGTCTCTCGATTCTTCTAATTTAAATATATTACAGAGTTATCTATTGCCTGTCGACAATTGCCTTTTAGCTGCCAGCTCTGGGCAGGGTATCTTTAAGACTGTGCATCGTATATGCCGGCAGCATATATATATGTACAGGGCATATGCCAAGTCGAGCATTGTTAGCACGATTACTTTTCTACATTAATGGCAAAGCTCTCAAGACAACATTCGCTCGCGCTGCCTACGTGACCTGCATCTTGTGTAGAATGAAGACGCCCCCTCGGCCCCTTTCCAAAAAAAGCGAGTTTGCAATTAAAAGAAATTAATGTCTCACCTGCCCGGCACTCACAGACTCTTCAATGAAAACTCTAATAAAATTAGAACACGCTACCGTTAGGAACAGTTGTGTATATCTCAGATTTTGTAAGTCTTCAAGTCGTTGGCTCAGCTGCTGCCAGCCACCTGTCTGCTTATTATTCATGAGCCGATGTTTAGTATTGTTCGAACGCTTTTCAATACCGTAATCCATTTAACTGTTTTCGGCAGGGCCCGCATCGAGCCGGGCTGGGCTCTGGACTTGGACCCTGCCCCATAGCGGCCACAAAAATTTCACTTTTTTTTCGAGTTTTTTTTTTTTTTTTCGGCCAGTCAGAATTCCATTGGCATTAGCATGCGACCACAAGCTATTACCATAGTCTCACACTCACGCACACACCCATGCAGACGCACATGCACACTTTTCAATTCGAACAGCATTTCCATTTTTCATTTCATTTCGGCTTTGCTTCGCCTGCATTTGCTTGTAATTGAATGCAACAGAGCGGGGCAGTTGCCTGCCCGCCCGCCTCCTGTCGATTCCCAGATCGCTTGCCTCCCGGCCAAATCCATACAAAATAGACACACAGCGCTCACTCACACACACAGCCACACACTGGAATGGAGCGTGTGGCAATCGGCGCCTGTTTTCCGCGCCATTGCATCACTTTCGCGTGGCGGCCAATCTACAACAACAAGCGCTTCGGCTAAGGCCAGTACCCTGTCCCCATGGGCGCCCAGCATAATCCCTGGCATCGTTAATATATTGTTTTTTTTTTTACTGTTTTTTCGTCTGCTGCCGCAATCAACAAGATTCGAATACTGTGAACACTTTTATCCGAAATAAAAATACTCTGCTTGCCACATCGAGCTTTGTTGCACTTCAATGATTTGCATGTGTTTAGAAATAGTCAAGTATTCGAAATATTTACTTACATTTTTAAATATATATATATAAAGAATTTGCGCCTTTTTTACGGCTTTTCAAATAGCTGCTCAGGCAGAGCTGTCGATTTATAACATTACTCAAAGTATCAAAATATAAGCTAGTTTAGCAAACCATTTAAGAGCTAATGTTAACTAGGACTTTGACTACTTTTAAATTGCTCTATAAGATTGATTTTTTACTCTGCTTAATAAAGTAATTAAGTCCACGTTCAGGATGTTCTTAGTCATCTTAAGCCTACAGCAGAAACTTGTGCTGTCTGGCAACGCTTAGCAGATTGCCAACAGCGTGAATCTTCATAGATATATGAAACAAAGTCTGTTGCTCACATCTCATAAAAGCCAGGCTGCACACTCCCTGGCAAGTGGAAAGGGCATACAAGTCTCAGCAGCTGCTGAGTGCTAAAAATGTCTTCAAGTGCTGCCAGAGCTATTATAACCAAACAGACGGCAACACTGCCAACTAAATTATGAAGCAAATTTATTAAATTAAATTAAACTGTCTAAATTCAGCTATTTATTTATTCAAATTTATTGGCATAGCTTGACGTCGCCACACAACAATACACAGTGAGATGGCAACGCGGACTTTTCACAAGCTTATGCGAAGACCAAATAGAGCTTGTGAAAATTGTTGACAGTAGGAAGAGCAATTGCAACCAACAGGCACATAACAATTGCCAGCAACTGTTGTTATGTTAGTAACGCGAGTGCTAAATGCTAACTGCTCGGCTAACGGGGGTCAGCAGTGCCCGAAAATCAACAAATGTTAATTTTTACAGTGCTCCCCGCCACATTTGACTCGAATGTTACGCAGCTGTGAGCAATTAAAAGACTGTTAACCAAATAATGTTGGTGTTTACAGTGACACTTGGTGTTTATTTTGATAATGGGTTATTTGGCAACGCACGCAGACAATCCTACAGATTAGAAGCACGCCCATCAGGCTGATGCATACAAAAATATTTCACACACTCAAAGCGGACAGCTTGCTCGGCCTGTGTCTCCCGCAGATCAGGTTGATTAGTCGAAAATCTTCTGCCTCTGCTGCAGCTGTTGTTGTTGTTGTTGCTGCTGATTTTTGTAATGCTCGAATGACCTCAACAAATTGACAAATTGACATCGCTTAGGCCGTGCAATCATAAATGTCAACGCGCGTAATTAGCGCCCAAAGCTGAGCGCTTGACTGCAGACATCGAGCGACTGCACTCGGATGTTGCGCATAAGTCAGAAATGTATTTATGCATGGATTGAATTGTACAAAGGTGGGGGGAATGAACAGCGAGGGGAGAGGGGTGGCTGTGATTATTTGTCTCACCTGAACCGGCATATCCTACAGCAACAATTTCTCAATCTAAATGCAACGAATGGCAAATGGCTAAAACCGGATCGGGCGACATAAAGTGGGTTAATCGGTTACAGGCTGGAAATGGCATGAAACGAAATGAAACACAACGCCAGACCTGATCGGAGAAACACCAACAATAGCAACAGCAACAGCAACAAGAGCGGCAGCCGCAGCCGCAGCAGCGCTGAAAGCTGAGGCGAGTTGCCTGGTTGCCTGGTTGCCTGGCTGGCCAATTGCAATGAGCACAATTGCCAATCAAAAATACATGAAACGCAAACAAGCAACATCTACAAGCAACAACAACAATGAAAATATCAACATCCCCTGCGTCTCGTCTTGTACGTGAGCGAGCGACAGGCTTCAGTGAGTAGCTTATAAAAAAAACGCTCAGCAGAAACGCTCAAGAGATTGGCCCGCAAGAGATATACTAACTGATACACTCATACACCTGTCGTCAACATAGCGCTAAAACATTTCACAACTTTTTTTCTTCTACTGCTAAACTCACTTTGGGGCCAGTGCAAATCAAAAGACTTAGGACACGAACTTGCTCACAACAGCCAAATCAGGCAAAGCAAATATTTGCAATTGTCATCAGGCGCCGCATAATGTAACAAATCGAGACCTTGACTTCAGCGTAGACACACATACATCATCTAAATGTGTCTGTGTGTGTGTAATGCCTTGTCCGAGCTGTCAATTGAATTAACATTTAAATTTGCAATCATCGCGCACAAAATGAAACGGAAATTAGTTCAAGACATAAACAACGCTCGTATGATGTAAATGAGTTGGTGTTTAACTAATGCTTTAAGTGTTAATGGGACGTTAACGTAACAATAACTTTAGGTTTAGCTACAAGCATTAGCTGCATGCAAAGAGCATAGTTAAATCCTCGCTGGCATTACGAAATGCATACAAATATTTCTAGATATACCTTTAGGCAAGGGTCATAGAATCGAACCATCAAACTATTGATTTATTGAAAATTATATATTTATGTAAATACATATATTTATATATATATTATGATCAAATTTGTTTTCCAATAAATAAATCCATCTGAAGCAAATTATTAAAATATTTCAAATGGGCTAAAAAACATTTAATAAAATTTATATATTTAAAAAACCCTAACTCTTTTAAATAGTCGCAGTTAACTAAAGTTAATAGTGTTAGGGTTGACGCCAAAGTGCATGCTAAAGCTAAAGGTTAACTTAACCAATTGTTAAAGTAATTCGTAAATTGTTACGTTAAACTAAACTTTTAAATTAGAGCTAGATTTAAGTGCAGACAGGCCTTTGGCATTTCGATGCAAGCCGTAGACTATATGAGCTGACTTATGGCACTCATTTCGATGTTAATATACGCATTCATGACTGGCAAATAAATATATCACCCCAGCGAGCAGTGCGTGCGACTCCAGCTAGGCCCAGTTGAAAGAGCAAATAGTCGCCCGCCCATAAATATGTAAAATGCAAAATAATTGCCCTCAAAGAGGGCCCCAAAATTAGCTAACAATAATTGGTAACGTTTATGTGCGCTAACTGTTAAATGGCTAGCACACACACATACACACAAACACACGTGATTCTTACGTCACTTGTAAATGATTTTTTTGGGATGTGGAAGAGCAGAGGGAAAGTTTAATATTTCATGACAGACTCCGACGAGCCAAGCGACTCGAACTACTCGAAAAACGCGCATATTTAAGCTAACGAATGATTTATTGAGTCAGGCCGCATAGCCAATAAAGCTACGAGCTACGCCCAGCAATGCGCTGGCGCACAGTGGTGCAAAACCCAATGACAGCTGGCTCATGGCAGGTGGCAACGAAGACCCCCGAAATAAATGCCAGCGTATTAATTAGGGCCCAGTCGACATGTCGAAGGCGTGAATAAGCTCAAACGATCAAAGCAAATAAACAGAGATTATCGGCAACGTATAAGCATGCATCAATAAAGCAACAGCAACAACAACAGCAGCAGCAACAGCAGCAGCAGCAACAACGAGATACAACATAAAACAACATTTTGAACACTTTCATATCCGAAACTCTTACTCTTCAATCTTCAATGGCAATCTATCTCTGTCATTACACACGTCTTGTTTGCAGCTTGACCAAGTTTTCCGCGACTGACATTTCGTTTCCTTTTTATTTTAATTTGTATATACCCTGTAGACACGTGAGGGTCTGATTGAATTTAAAGAAGCTCATGAAGGCGATTCAGTTCTGATAAAGTCTGATCTCTGTCAGTCATTCAATCAATCAATCAAACTAGCAAACTCACCTATGTAAATATTGATTAAAACTTATCACTTATCTCATTGCATTTTCTTGCACTGTACAGGGTATTGGGCTAGTCGAGCGCTCTCCTCTGTATTGCTCTGTCATGCATTGCGCTGCAGTCGTACAGCAGTTGCTGAGCTCATTGTTGATTGTTTTGCTGTTGGCTCGTGATGGTATTTTTTACTTGCTGTCATTTAATTTGCAGTTCGTGCTATTTCCTGTATGTTTAACAAATGCGTAACGGGACAAGGGATGCAACTAATTAGCGCAGCGAGAGGATGTCGCCAGCGAGGCAGATGGTAGCTGCCTGGGCTGCCAGACAACATTTGTAGGTGTTTTGCTAATTAATTGCAGTCAAGCATTTACGACTTAACATGGGAAACCAACAACGAACCAGAGCATTTGCTAAAGCGAGATGTGGCGGAAAATTGCAGCTAACGGCAACAGAGCTCCGACGTAAAGGAAGGAGAAAATTAATCATAGAAGTAAAATGATGTGTTTTATGAGTTCCTCGAGTTGGGAGAGTCGCATCTAAGACAATGAAATTAATTAACTTTCGTTTTTGCTGATTGTATGAATAAGAGTAAGGAGATCCTCTGAGACGAGGAATAATTAGTTTTGGCCTCTCTCCATTTTACTTTCTTTCTCTCGCTTTCTCTTTCTTTCTGTCTCTCAAGCTCAATTTCAATCTCACTCTCTACCTCTTTCAATATCTTTCTCTTCCTTTCCTTCTCAATGTCACTCCCTCTGCATCTTTCAATCTCTCTGTTTCTCACTCATTCTCCCGCTCAATCTCTCCACCTCTCTGTTTCTCTCATTTTTTCTTCATCTCAATCTCTCTCACAATCTCTCTTACAATATCACTCTCCCTCTTTCAGTGTCTTTTTCTCTCTCTCTCTCTCTCTCTCTCTCTCTCTCTCTCTCTCTCTCTCTCTCTCTCTCTCTCTCTCTCTTTCTCTCTCTCTCTCCTTATCTATATAGTTGATCTCCTCTCTTACCTGTTCAGCTTATACGCATAGCTATGTGAAAACTTGACTATGAAAACATTTTCAGCCTGCCTCAAGCCCAAAGGCCGGCAAATCCTGGCCACTAATAATAACGACGCTAAATAAGTACCTTGAGTACTTTGATTTCTTTGGCTATTCGGCGTACTTTGAGTAGCTTAATTATAAACAGTTCGTGGCCCAAGGCAAACGAGTTAAATGCCAACTAATGCCGCAGATCATGTACAATTAGAGGGCCGAGTTTCAATTGCATAAACTTTTTCGTCCAAGCGAACACTCTGAAGCCCCAACTGTTGTTTGTTTTTAGTTATTGTTGTTGCTGCCGCTGTAGTAGTTGTTGTTGTTGATGCTGTAATAAAATTTGCCCAGTGGCAAACAATTGTTGGCCGCTCGTATTTGGCTTTTTGTTGCCAGCCACTATTTTGTGTTTTGCTGCTTGTGATATTTTTTGCGGTCAAAGTGGCTGTCGCTGCGAGAAAATGGGGAGTAAACGACGTCTGTTGGCGGGTGGGCGTGGCCCTTGAATAGTTTAGCTAATGCGATTTTATTGTCGTGCGGTGTTTACCTGTTGATTAATGATGAAAGCGATGCCAACACATTTGCTAATTGTTTACGTTTTCTCTACCAACTTCTCTTCCCTCCCTCTCGCTATCACTCTTGCTCTCTCTCTCTCTCTCTCTCTTTGCTCTCTGTGTCTGACTGTTTTTACAGCACACAGCCCCAATCGACGGCCTGCCAGGCCATGAAGGACAAACGCTGCTGCTGGACACGCGGCAAGGTAATCGGTGGCAGCTCCGTGCTAAACACGATGCTCTACATACGCGGCAATCGACGCGACTTTGATCAGTGGGCAGCTTTCGGCAATCCCGGCTGGTCGTATGAAGAGATTTTGCCCTATTTCCGCAAGTCGGAGGATCAGCGCAATCCCTACCTGGCGCGAAATAAGCGCTACCATGGCACAGGTAAGGCAGAGCTCTAGACTAGACAGCTGCAGCTTTGACTGAATTCTATTCATTGTAGGTGGCCTCTGGACGGTGCAGGACTCGCCCTACAACACACCAATTGGACCGGCATTTCTACAGGCCGGCGAGGAAATGGGCTACGATATCGTCGATGTGAATGGCGCCCAGCAGACGGGCTTTGGCTTCTATCAGTTTAACATGCGGCGCGGATCGCGCAGCTCGACAGCCAAATCTTTTCTGCGTCCGGCGCGACTGCGGCCCAATCTCCACGTGGCGCTCTTCTCACATGTGACAAAGGTGCTCACAGATCCGCACACGAAGCGTGCCACCGGCGTGCAGTTCATCAGGGACGGACGCCTCCAGAACGTGTATGCAACGCGGGAGGTGGTGATGGCAGCGGGCGCCATTGGCAGCCCACATCTGATGATGCTGTCAGGCATTGGGCATGGCGAGGAGCTGGGTCGCGTGGGTATTCCAGTGGTGCAGCACCTGCCTGGCGTGGGCCAGAACTTGCAGGATCACATTGCGGTGGGCGGCATTGCCTTCCTGATCGACTACCCCATCTCGATTGTGATGAAGCGCATGGTCAATATAAATACAGCACTGCGCTATGCCATCACAGAGGATGGACCGCTCACCTCCAGCATTGGGCTGGAGGCCGTGGCCTTTATCAATACCAAATATGCGAATGCCAGCGACGATTGGCCCGACATGAACTTCATGATGACCTCGGCCTCGGTAATGTCCGACGGTGGGTCGCAGGTAAAGACGGCCCACGGTCTGACCGATGAGTTTTACCAGGAGGTATTCGGCGAGGTGAACAATCGCGATGTCTTCGGCATCTTCCCCATGATGCTGCGGCCCAAGAGTCGTGGCTACATAAAACTCGCCTCAAAGAATCCGCTGCGCTACCCGCTGCTCTACCACAACTACCTCACCCATCCAGACGATGTGAATGTGCTGCGCGAGGGCGTCAAGTCGGCGATTGCTGTTGGCGAGACGCAGGCAATGAAGCGCTTCGGCGCACGCTTCTGGAGCAAGCCGCTGCCCAACTGCAAGCACCTGACTCTGTTTACGGACGAGTATTGGAACTGTTTCATCAGGCAATACACGATGACCATATACCATATGAGCGGTACGGCCAAAATGGGGCCGCCCAGCGATCCCTGGGCCGTGGTCGATCCACAGTTGCGGGTCTACGGTGTGCCCGGGTTGCGTGTCATCGATGCGAGCATCATGCCGACCATCACCAATGGCAACATACACGCACCAGTCGTCATGATCGCCGAGAAGGGCGCCGATCTCATCAAGCAGCTGTGGCTGACACCCAGCACCAAGCCAACGGATCAGCAGTGGCGCACGAAGCGCTCCCTCCCGGTCGCGGGCAACGAGACACTCGCGCAAACCGTGCGACAATGGCCACTGCCCAGCTCGTAGCTCGGGTGGGCAGGGTGTGGGCCCGGGGCACAGCCAACAGCTCAATGACAGTTGCTCAAAGTGGGAGGCTTAAGCTTAAGACTAATCCTGTAGAGTCGACACACAACTGGCTAGACAAATTAACTAGTTTCCGTGAGCTCAATTGCAAGTAGTCAGTGCAATGTAGCTTCACTGTAGCTTAAATGTGTTTTCTCACTTTTATGCGTGTTTCACTTTTCTTAAGAAGCTTTCATTTTGTATATTATGCTTGATTTTATCTGAAACTTTCATCAGTAATCCCCTCAAAACTAGTATTTTCCACATGTTTAGCCGTTAGAGCTTTACATTTACAACATTCCTAAAGCTATTTGCCAGCTTATTCTTCATTGAAAAGAAATGTTTAAGCTTGAATTAAGTAAAAGCTCTTCTCAAACTTTACCTCATTGACAAACTTCTACCCACTTATACTTATCTATATATGAAGAGCTTTGACGCGCATCGCAAAGCTCTTTGCGTTCCTTCTGGAAAAGATTAATCTAAAGCTCTGCTACTTGAGGTCAGTGTCATTGGAGCAAGTTGTGCGGCTGGGTTTAGCTTTTAGTTAGTTAATTCTCGTCGCGTGTCTAATTTATTAAACTTTAGTTCGCTTTGCAGCTCCTCCTCCTGTGCGTTGTCCTTAGTCACCTAAGCGCTTCTTGTAAATATCGAGTCATTTATGCTAATGCGTTTGTTGTGTACATATATATATATACATATACGTGTATGTGTATGCTACGTATAAACATTTTTTTTTTGTGCGAGTGTCTGATGGTAAATATAAACACATTTTTTTTATACTTCGTCGTGTACACTTAGAGTACCTCAATTAGTCTTTGGCCTAAAACAAAAACCTTTCGATTGACGATAAAACATAAACAAAAACAAAACACCTCAATTAGCAAGTAAGTTGGATACGAAGTATATTATCTATTTGTATTGGAATAGTTGTTATATCTAACGAATAAATAAATGAGTAAACAAATAAACAAACAAATGTTGTATTAAATGTGCTGTGCATATAAAAGGGTCGTAGAAAGCTTGAACCAGAAGCTTTGGTTTAGATATCTCCTAGTCGGACACACCAGACTAGAGCACTCTTACTTGTTTTTATGCGGTGTTTTGCAGTGCATTTCAAACCTGCGCTTGCTTAGCTAGCACACGAACCCAAATCGCGCAGCAGCGGTGACACAAACCTTAACTGAGCTCGGCTTTAAAGCTTACCTGAAATAAAAATTAAATTTTGAAATGTCAGTCATGGCTTTTAAATTAAAAATTTCATAAAAATATATGAAGCATTAAAAGCTTTTCTCCAAAAAGAAGAAAAAAATTAACTTAAGTCGCATTTGAAAGTATGCTATATAAATAATTAAGAAACCTATTTTGAGCTAATTTTTTGACTACAAATATTTAAGTTAATAGGATGCACTTTAGTATTTGTTTAGCCTACTTTCAAGAGTTTTTTTTTTTTTTTGAGCATTTTATATTTTATTTTATACTTTGCATATTTACTTTCAGTAACAGACTTTTTAGACTTTAATTCACTGATAATAACAATATGCGAGAGGAGCCTCACATCACGTCTAAGTTTCAAATAAAAATTGATTTTGAAAGGAAATAATAAATTGTTTACTTCTTTAGAATCTAAACTTCAAAACTCTAATGCACATACAAAACCTAAAGCCACTTCCGAGCTGGGCAAAGCATCAATATAATCGGAGTTTTTTTTTTTTTTAAATTATTTTATTAGTGGAAGTAGTTGAACTAGCTATATACTACTCTAGATTAGACCAGAAAAGCTATGCCAGATTATTGTTATATTTCCCTATAAAAAAGCCACAAATTTTCAATTTGACTAACCACATTTGACAAGTAAAAATCAGATTCACAATTCGAATGTCAGATTATAAACAATTATTGTATGATTTTGCTGTTCTGTATATAAAGATAATTCAAGCATGTGCACATTGCCCTGACGGAGCGCTCCTGGCGCCTTCAAGTAGAATACGTGAGAGTATTGGAGTTGCTGATCATCGCCAAAGTCAAAACGATCAAGGACATACGGTAAACACTTGTGTTCCATGCTCGAAAGATACTCCTTGTGTAGCCATGGCAATATAAGGTTTTTAACAAAAAGGCAAACATTTCAGCATAAAGTTTTGCATCTCAATTAACTCAGTTAAGAAATAAGTTAAGTGTAGTATCTCAAACAAATATATTGTATTATTCTCCATGCAATAGCAAATTTGTTCCACTGTCAACTATTGTTTCAGCTAAATACACGTCGAATAACCTCGCAATATAAATTTGTCTTGTTGCCAGCTAGAGCCTCACGTCGGCTCTATCAAACACACGTTTGTGGGGTGCTGTTCGGGACGTGTTTCACTTGTAAATTTGATAGGGATCAAAAAGTACAGTTGCGCATCGATATTAGTGTCAAGAGCTGACGAATGATGTGCAAAGCGATATATATCGAGCCAACTTAACAGTGCTGGCACGCCTGCTGCTATACCTGTTCGGTAAATGAGCAAAAGAATTGCTTCTTTCTATAATAGCAAAGGAAAAGGCAACCTTAGTTCAGCAATTTTACAATTTTAAGTATTTTTATTTCGCCGGAAATGTTTTGCCGAATTTCCGAATGGTTTTTTAAATAATGCTCCAGGTAGATGTTACGCAATCTGGACAGCAACTAATACCAAGTAATACATATAATTTTCCTCATTTTACAAACAATGGGTGCGTAAATTAGCTGAAATAAAAGAAGAAAAAACAAAAACCTAACTAAGAAATAAGTAAACTCAATGCGTTATCCAATTAGATGCGCCGGGGAAGCGTTAAATGGAATTTCGAAGCGATTTCAATTGCAATTACGAACTCTTTTCGAAGATGATTGCAATTAGGCTTTACGCAGGAGATCTTTGGAGACGGGGCCGAGCTGTTAGGCCGCTAGGGGCTGGGCTGGCAAAAAAACTTAACGATGCTTGAACAATGATACATATATGTATTGAATAATGCATTGTGTTTGGCTCCAGGCTTGGTCGATGATTTTGTTAACAAAATGAAATATAATTACAGTGCAGTTGTAATACTTTGCTGGCAACAGCCTGACGGGGTATATTACTCAGCTGCTTACAGTTTTTCATGAACATGCTTTAATATATCTTTGCAGACTTATAGAAAAGCAGCCCAATAGTAATCTAGAATTATGGAATCTACCTTGCGATTCGCTGAGGTATCATTTTGTACAAGTTTCTTTTCTTCGTATTCTTTTCATTTATATTGAAGTTTTTAGTACGGCAACTAGTATAAAAAGTTTAATGTGAGCTTCTGTCGTAGTGGCAGTTTAATCTAATTCAAACTCCAAACTTTTTAACATTCATTACGCATTCAAAGCCCTGCAGCACCATTACGTAATTTCCCTTAGACTTTCATCAGCATCCAGGAAGACACACCTCAATTGGAACTAAGTGCCCCTTAGACTTACACCTTTTGCTCAAGTCAGAGCTGGCAAACTAGAACTAAAAAAGTTTTACTCTGTGTAAGTCTGCTCAAACAAGAAGCTGCCTAAGGCAGTTAAGGTATTTCCTTCTGAATATTTGAAAGCTTGACCACATTCTCTTGCTTCTTCTATATCCATTATCAAACTAAAAACAGGGTATACTCTATTCCAGCTGCATGAACATTCTGATTTGGTTTCTTTATTTCGATTATGGCTGCTATGATTATTCGGACTCCTCGAGTCCAGCCCGACGACTTGGGTCGCGGAAAGCGGCCATAAATCCAATGCTAGAGGTAGGCTGTGGGGGCAGATCAGGCGAGGGGCGGCTTGCTTTTGCGGCTGCTGCCAGGAACGCTCTCAAGTGCAACGCATAAATATTTATGCTGCCTCCAACTGACTGGCTGGTTGAGTTTTTGGACCCCAAAAATTTGCGAAACGAAAGTTGCCAACTTCAACCAAAAAAAAAAAAAAAATATATATATATAAAAACCGAAAAAAAAATACTACGCATTCAATGTCAACTTTTTGGCCATGCGGCGCAGCTCGCCGATGGCTGGGACATGCCGGAAGCGGCAAGGTAAAACATATTTAACTCGGTTTAACTTTGTAAGTTGTGGTGCTTGGAGTTCAATGTTGGCGCTGTGGTTCAACCAGGCCATAGATGCTCCACACTCGGCGAATGGCGAACAGCAAACGGCAAATAGAGTTCACGAATGGCAGCCGAAACGACGCGTCGTGACGTTTCAAGCCACTTGAATGAGTTAATGAATGAACAAATGAATGAATGAAGAAGCCAGCTGTGTTGACAGTGTGGAGCAGCTGAAATTGTGGGCAGCGGTACAGAGTGGGTTTACCACCATGCGAAAGCGTCGTGTGGGTTTCCTCTCGCTCTGTGCGGGTCGTTCAACGTTTCAGCTGGAAGACATTGCACTCTGCACGTGAACTTCGAGAAAAATATTAAAGCTGTGCTTACAACGAGTGCCAGAAAGAGAGAAAATGGTGAAGGGAGAAAGAGCATGGGTGAAAGAAAGAGAGGCCTAAACTGGACTATGGGAAAAACGAAAAGATCTGAAGGTGATAGTGACTATGAGTTGATTGCAGTGGAGTGTAACCCATAGAAGAGACAGCGTTAACGAGTCTATGATTCAGATAAATGTGTGAAACAATGAGAGAAATCCAGAACAAGGATGCACTAAGCCGATAAGCTTAAGTCTTGGAGAACCTTTAAGTATTGGAGATAATTCTATACGAAAGCTTTATATGATTTTTATATTAATCATTTAATATATCAGCCCAACTGCTCTTGGGATACTTAAGAACTGAACAACTGAACACGTATCAAATTTTATATATTTTGTTTATTATTAAGAATTAAAATTAATTTAAAATTTAAATTAAATTTATTTTCAAATATACTAAAAAACGATCAAGTTTTTCAAACACCAAATTGGTCAAATTGGCCACAAAACTGAGCGACTTATCTATAGAGACATGCAGATGAACAGATGCATATGACTATGCTTAATCAAATATGAATGAAGAAGAGGAAGATGAAAATGAAAGATATCGATGTCTCTTTGCATATCAAATGTGTGCGCTCAACACTTAATGAATCACTAAGTGAAGTCGCAAAAGCAAAAAAAAAAACGAAAAGAGATTCAATAAAAACTAGCTAAGTATGGTATAGGGTATACGTTTTCTTGTACATAGGGTATTTAGTCAGGTTTCACATTAAATTTCACAAAGAAATCGCAAATGTGT